CTAGCAGATGTCTGAGGCAGGATTTGAACTCAGGCCTTCCTGACTCCAAGTCCAGTACAGTACTCTGGGCTTTTCACACCCTTCTTGTGATTTGGCACGGTGCATAGGAGTTTGGTCAATTCTATCTGACCTGCCCTGTGAGCAGGAATGTATGTGACTTGGGTCTTAGTCCAGGGATACTAGCGTGTGAGAGCCCACTGTTCAGTTTTCACTGTGCCTCAGAAATCTGCAAAGTACTACAGATCAGGGCTTGATGTGATATTGTGTGGATTGTCTAGGCTGGAGAAAACAATGGACAATGTTAGTAATGCTGAAACAGTTAGCAGCACGCCCCTGCCTCAGTCACTCCCTACACCCACCTTAGTGCATTTGTACAAGTCATTTCCCATGCCCGGAATGTACTTCCTCCTCATCTCTATCTTCTTCAAGGCTCCCCTCAGGTACCATTGTCTCCTTGATGCCTTTCCTCACCCTCCACCTTCTTCCTCCAGCCCTCCTCCAAATTACCCTGCATTTACTTCTGTGCTTAACAAATGCTTGGTGAGCTGAATTGAATTTTATGTTTTTCATGATCAAAAATAATAGCAGCTCCCTTTCTGTAGGGCTTTCAAGCTTACCTAGCACTTCCTTACAACGAGCCCAAGTGGTAGGCAATGTGTGAGTAGCCCCATTTTACAGATGAGGAAACAAGTGAAGTGACTTGCCTAAGGTCACACAGCTAGTTGGCCTGAGGCCCAGTTTTCCGCCTCCAGGCTTTCTGCCCTTTCCAGCGTACACCATGCTGTCTTTCTCCTGATATTTCCAACTCTGCTCTATGAATTTTCTTGTCATTTGAGGGAAGAAATGTGCTTTGCTAATGAGCATGAGGGATCACGAGTGAAATGCTCAAATGTTCTTTAAAATATTGTTTTTATTCCTGGCAGTATGTCACGTTGTATAGTCAGTCATTCCAGCGAGGGGAGAGCAATCACAGAAAAGAGATGAAATAAAACGCATTTGCACAGCTGAAGTGAAGGGGAGAAGGCAACAGCTTTGCAAGTCACACACACTTGTGGGCTTGTTCTGATAGACAGCTCTTGTCCTTGTACCTGTTTCTGGACTTGGAATCAGACCCTTCCTAGCTGCCAATTAAACATTTTAATTTTGACTGATGTCAGAGCTAGGAAGGATCTGATTCCAAGGCCAGTGGGCTCTCCACTAAAAAAGAAATATAATGTTGGAAATAATGGATGGTGGTGCATTGGAAAGACCGTGGGATTTGGCACCAGAGGAACTAGGTTTGAACCCTGGCTCTGTCGCTTACTACTTGTGTGACTTTAGGCAAATCACATGACCTCTCTGGGCCTCGGTTTCCCCATCTGTAAGATGAAGGGGTTGGACCCAATCTCCTTTAACATTGTTCCCGTTTCTAAATCTACAACCCCATCACGCTACGGTCTATCATGACAGTGTCCACTAGGGTTTCTAAAGCAGCATAGCATGGTATATGGATCACTGAGTCAGGAAGATCTGGATTCAAATCCTTCTTTTTGTGACTCTGTGACCCCAAGCAAGTCACCTAATCTCTGTGTTCGTCAAATATCTGCCTAGGGCTTGGCTACTTCCTAGCTATGTGAGGTCAGGCCAGTCACTTAGCCTCTACAGGCCTCAGTTTCTTCAAGTGTAAAATGAGGAAGTTGAACTGAATGGTTTCTGAGGCCTCCTCCTGCTCTAGATCTGGGGTCTTGTCATCCACTAAGTCATTGATGGGTTGCTATCTGGGAGTTCCCATTAGCCTCCTGAGTGGTTCACTGGGCAGGGTTTCACAGGCAAGGTGATCTGCATGATCATCCATATTTCCTTCCTGCTCCTTTCCCCTCTATCAGATTCTTCATGATAAGAAGCTAGGGATGAGGAAGTGCCAGAACCTTCATTTGAGTTATTAGCATCTTGATACTTCCATCACCTCCTCAATAAGTTACCAAGCTTGTTGGCCACAGTAGATCAGTCGGAAAAAACCCCGGTGATTCTGGCTTCCCTGGCTTCCTTCAAGACAGGACTCAGATCCCACCTTCTGCAAGAGGCTGTTCCCAGCCCCTTGCCCCAGTGATACTGCCTTCCCTTGGAGATTTCCTCCCATCGACGCTGCATCTATCTTGTATATTGTTTCCCCCACTGGAATGTGAGCTCCTTTAGGGCAGGGGCTATGTTGTTGCCATTCTTTGTATCCTTATCATGTAGCACAAGTTGGGAACAGTCAAACACATCCAAGATCTTTGATCTCATTGCTGTGGAAACTCCCTCCACCGATGCAAGTCACAACCTATCTATCACTTAGCAGCTAGGTCTTAGAGTCGCCAGAAGCTCAGGCCCATGGCCACACAGTTAGTTAGTAATGGCAGAGGTGGGATGTGAAGTGAGGGTCCTTTGGCTCCAGGACCAGTTCTCTAGCCGCTTATTCCATGATGACTCTTACTCTATAAGTCTATAGTCTTGTGAAGTAATAGATCTTTAAAGTGTTGATGATGATAATAACAACCATAACAATAGCTAATATTTCCATGACACTTTATAGCTTGCAAAACCCATTGCATACAACAGCTCCATGAAGTGGGCAGTGTATGCATTAATTTTCCCATGTTACACTTTTGCAAAGCCCTTTGGATATATGTCTAATCTTATTTGAGCCTCACAACAACCCTATGATGTAGATGCCATTATTATACCCATTTTACAGATGAGAAAACCAAGGCTCAGAGAGGTAAAGGGGCAAGGACCCCAGGTCACGAAACTAGAGATAAGCACTGAACCTCATAGATGGAAGGGACCTTCTAGTCCCATCTAGTCTAAGTCATATCCAATAGGAGTCCCCCCCTGCCATAACACACCCAACAAGTGATTGTCCAAGGAAGTAGAACCCATCACCCATTTTACCTTGGGACAGCTTCTGGTAATTCTCCCTCCCCCTCCCCATTGCTCCTAGTTCTGCTCTCTGGGGCCAAACAGAAAGAGTCCAATCCGTCTTCCTCATGACAGTCCTTCGAAAACATAGCTATCATGCCCAGCCTGAATCTTCTCTCATCCAGGCCAAACATCCCTAGTTTTGTGAACTGATTTTTATATGGGTTCAAGGCCCTTCATCACCTTCTGCTATAGTCTTATGCCTTATTTCTGCTATGACTATAATTTGAGGCCTTAATATTTTGCTTTGGGCAGATGTCTGGATAACTGAAGTCTCCCATTACTACTATTACTACTACCATATTAGGCCTCTGTGCTAAGTCTGTGATGTTTCCTGAACTCCTCATCTATTTTCTTTTTCTGTCTAAGAGTGTTGATGACCTCTTCTGGTCTTTACCCAAATGCTCTCTGCTGTGTCTTCCTGCCTCTCTATGCCTAGGTGCCCTCACATGAGTATACTTTCTTGATATACAATGCTACCCCACTCTCCTTTGCTTAGCCCAGGGGTGGGGAACCTGTGGCCTCGAGGCCACACGTGGCTTTTTAGGACCTCGGGTGCGGCCTTTTGACTGAGTCCAGGTTTTACAGAACACATCCTTTTATTAAGGGGATTTGTTCTGTGGAGTTTGGATTCAGTCGAAGGGCCACACTTGAGGACCTAAGAGGCCACATGTGGCCTCGAGGCTGCAGGTTCCTCACCCCTGGCCTAGCCTGTTTCTTTTGAATAAGGCATATTCCTATTGGGAGTTTCATCCCACCTGAGGTCATCTGCTTCCTTGTATTAGGAGCTCTAGGTCCTCTTGCTATTTCCCCAAGCTTTGGGCATTTAAGTACTGACATCAAGGACTTTGCAATTTTAGGCAGTTTGGGCTGCTTGGCAACATGGCCTACTCATTAATATGGCTTACTTGGCAATACAGCTTAGGCAATATAGTCTACTTGGTAATACGGCCTACTTGGTGTTCCCAGTACATGCCATTCCATAACTCGCCTTCCTATTTTTGCTGAGGCTTCATATTTTCCCTGTGCCTGGAATATGCTCTCTCCTCTGCTAGAAGAACATCCTTCAGGATTCACTTCCAGGACCACTTTCTACATGAAGATCTTCCTATTCTCCTGCTGTCACTACTGCTCTCCTCACCCCCAATATTACCTGGCATCTACTTTCATGTATACATGCTATTGCCACCAATAACACAAGTTGCTTGAGGGCAGGAACATTTTCACTTTTGTCTTTGTATCCTCAACACTTATGATAGTGCCCAGTGCATAGTAGGCACTTAATAAATGCTAGTTGATTGACCAACAGTCTGATCTTTTCATTTTATGAAATGGGGAAACTGAGGCCCAGAAGGGAAATGACTTGTCCCAAATTAGAGTGGTTTTTCCCAGAGGCTAAATTTGGACTGGAGGAGACCAGGCTTTCTTAACTAACCCTCAAATCTGTGTTAAACTAGAACACCTGATTTCCTGATGACATTGCTGAAACTTAGCTCACAAGTACAAATATGCTCATTGGATTGTGGCTAAGCAGGTAGGAGAGATACTAAACAAACTTGTATCAGATAAAAGGACCAATGGAAAGAGCATACTTGTAAGAAAACCTCTGGAGACCTTAGAAAGCTGCAAAGATGTAGAAATAAACATCTTTTCCTTCAATATTGCTGCCTAGAATCCGGCCTCCTGTTTTGGATGGTCCCACTTATAGTCCTCGGGTCTAATGGAGCCTGTGGGGTGCGAAGAAAACACCTTTCTCCTTGGCAATCATATTTTTAATGTTTTCCAATTTTTTTTTTTGACTAGGAAATGGGGTTAAGTGACTTGCCTAGGGTCACATGGCTGGTAAGTGTTATGTGTCTGAGGCTGGATTTGAACTCAGGTCCTCGTGAATCCAGGGCTGGTGCTCTATCCACTGTGCCACCTAGCTGCCCTGGCAATCATATTTCAATGAGCTTAATAGTGCTGTGAGGTTAGTGCCATGGTCCCCAGATCTCATAGCAAGAAACCAATTATTAGGAGGGTACGTGACTGACCCAGGATGGGAGAAGTTATAGGCAGAACTGAAATTAACACCCCCAAACTTGCTGGGTTTCTCCTTTTCCAATGTTTGCTACCAAATGGAAGCCCCAAAATGTGATTGGGCCAACCAGAGGAACTCTGGTCCATTCTGGCTCGAAGACACACCAATCCTAGGAAAATCAATGATGCTTCCAGTCAGCTGGTTAATATTTATGCTCTTCAATGGGAAACAACAACAACCAGAACATTTCTGCGGTGCCTTCATGTTTATAAAGAGATTTGCAAACATTTTTTTTTTACAAACATCTCTTTTCATCCTCGCAATGACCTTGGGAGGTAGGTGCTATCACTGCCCCCATTTTAAAGTCAAAATCAACAGCAACAAAAATGGTGTCTCTGAGTGGCCCAAGTGACTGGCTCAGGTCACACAGCTAATAAATTCTGAGGCAAGATTCAAATTCGGGTCTTCCCGATGTCAAGTGCTGTCTTCCCATAGCACAGTGCTTTGGTGATGAAGCAATCTCATTACAGACTTCTGGGGAGTGAATAAAAGAAAAGAGGAGTCTTATAAAAATGGTGCTCTCGTCCTCCTCATCCCCAACTCCCCTTGTCCCCTTGCCCCACCCTTGGGTTGTGTTGGGTTTTTTTTTCAGTCTAAATCATCATGGTCTCATCTGACCTGGACCCCTTTATGACCACAAAGCACAGATTTACCAACCAGTTTTCCAGGAATAGAGGCTGTAGCTTTCCCTTATAAGGCTCCATCACCTTGAGTGGTATCTTATTAGCTCAGAAGCACCAATAAACTGAGCTTAACAACCTAGACTAGGAAACAATACACAATGTATGATACAGAAAGAACCTTAGAACACAGAAGGTCAGAATTTAGATCAGAGAGGGGCCTGGAAACACAGAATGTCAGAACGTAGAGCATGGACTCATGCTTATGACACTGTAAATGAAAACATTTGTCCTAGGTGATCTGCAAGGTCTTCCACCGATTTAAATCTCTGATCGTTAAGGACACTTAAAGGCTGATGAGCTCAGATTAATCTTGGTCCCCCAAATGATGTCACATACACTTTGTGGACTTTCCTGAGGCCAGAATGTTTCATAGAATGTTAGATGTTATCACTTTGTTCGTTGTTTTTGTTGAATTCTTTTCTTTTGTTATAAGGAAGGATTCAGTGAGGGCAGGCAGGGTATAGCAGGGAATGCCTGGGGTGAGGAAGTCAATTCATCCATGAAACATTTTGAGAAACATAGAACATCAGAGTGGGGTGCGGGGCAATTTCACAGTTATCTAGTCAAACATTTTACAGGTAAGGAAACTGAGGCCCAGAAAAGTTGGCTAGAACCTCATTCTCCTAACCAAGCACCATACTATTTTTAATGCCATCATAAAATCTGATGGTACATTGCTGCATGGTACAGACACCAATCTCTCTATTAAAAGTGCTGGACAGCTTTTCTAATTTGATACAATACAACAGGAACGTAACATCAGCAGCCAAACCAGGACTCGAACCCAGCTCCTTTGACTTCCAGGAGAGTAGTAACCCTTTCATTCTTCTACTTTGCTCCATCGTTGGGAAGAAATCATTTTGCAAAGTAGACAGTGACATCCTATTATTATAAGGTGCTTTAGCCTCAGTGTTCAGCTAGCTTTCCTTATAAGCAAAGAAACCCTGTGTCTATGACCTTATTAGGACATATTCGTTAATCAGTTGAGCTCACTCACCCAGCCTGGTTTTGCTGGATGAAATTCTGCCAAGGTCACATGCTTTTACCCATGCCTAAATTTACACGGACCCCCATAAAATCTCCAGATTTCCTGGTGGAAGGAATCTCACAGGCCATGGAGTCATAGGCTAACAGAATCCCAGATTTAGACCTGGAATGAACCTTAGAAACCATCTAATGATTCCAATCCAACCCCCTTAAGTTTCAGATGAGGAATCTGAGGCCCAGACAAACGGTGACTTGTCCAGGGTCACTCAGGCTAGGATTCCAAACGAGGTTCTCTGCCTCCAAATCCAATGCTGTTCACTGCCCAATGAACATTGACTTTGAGGAGAAAACACCTGAGAGCCCTCCCATCCTTCCCTCCCTCCCAACCCCCAAGCCAAGCATTAGCATGGAATGCTGCTCACCATTTTGGAAAGTCCTGACCAAATTATGCCTTCGTTCAAAGCCCCTAAAAGTGGACAGAGGTGGATTCCGTGCCTTGGTGGACTCTTGGGACTGTGTTATCAATCCATTCTCACAGTTCTTTTGTGTTCTGTTCCGCTTATGCTCACAATTTAACCCAGATCTGCTGTTCCCATCTGAAATGATATCAAATCAATACATGAATTAAAATACTAACCTCATGGCTTAGTGACCTCAATGAGTTATTTTCAGTGATGACACAGGGGATGGTATTATGATGTATGGCATGGGAAAGTAAATATAAATGGCCAGCTGAGGGTGCCTGGCATTTTTCCTGAGTTGGCTTGATGTGAATTCAGGAAAGGACTTTTGGCTGCCCCCCACTCACAACTAAGCATTCAAAGAAATTAAATCCTCTGAAGGGCCAGGAGAAAATCTGTGTATTGGCTGGGGCCCAAATGGCATCATCTCCTATGACATCTGATATTGAAGCAATAATACAATTAGAAAATGATGGTGTCACTGCAATCAAGATGATGGGTTCGGATGACTCAACCATTTTCTATAGACCATCCATCCAGGAAGGCACATTTTCAGGTGTGCTGGTGAGTCATCTCAGCATTCACCCTTTAGATTTTGCAACAGAAGTGGTGGAAGGTCCAGAACAAGAGAAACAGATCAAGAACCATCCTAAGAGCTCATCTGAGATGAAGGCCCGACTGCCGTCTCCCATGTATTCTGAGTCAACCCAAAGGAAACATTCCACTGCAATCAAGTGGGCAATAAAAACATTCTTCCCTTTGTATCGCTCTTGGTCCCAGGGCAAGTCTAAGTCCAAGTCCAAGTCCCAACACCAAAAGCATACACTGAAAGAAGACGAGGAGAATGAATTTGTGTCCATTGAGGCTCTGAAAGAAATCATATGTTAAGTCAAAAAATAAACTTAGCCATTACTTAACCCTAGGTGTCTTACCAGAGCAGTTCTTCAGTCGAAACCTCCCACAGCACAAGTGCTTTTGCCATTGTTTCCTCACATTCTTCTTCAGTAGACAGTGCAACACAAAGATAAAGAATCCTACATCAGGCAAAGAAAGGCAAAGGAAGTGTTAGTGGGTTCACCAGCTCTGTCTTGCCAATGCACTAGGAGAATGGCCTGCTCTTTGAATAGGTCAGGGCTGTCTCATACCATTAATGTGAGCCTGAGGGACACATCGTTTCAGGCTCTGATTGTTGTTGGGGATTCTATGGGCCAGGGATTTGTCCACAAGTCCCTTAGTTTCCTTCACCCTTTTCCACTGCCCACACAGCCTGGTACAGTAATGGATTTGCAAACAGAAGACCAGGCCCGTCTATTGTAAGTTACTCTCATACTATACAACTAACTCATTGGGCATTCCCCTCCTCTGGGCCCCATGTTTCTGAAATCTGTAAAATGAGAAGGGGGTAGTCTAAATGATTTCTAAGGGAAGGGTAATGGTGACCCTTTCTAGAATCTATAAATTTGTGCTACATGACTGATTATTTTTTAAACTCTTGACAAACTGAGTGCCATCACTTACCCTGGCTACCCAACACCAACTCTCCCTCAACTCCTTGGAACATGAAAGCTCTTCAATAACCCACTTCAACCCTGGCTCCCCCGCCAAAATCATCCTTTCCCCTACAGAATGTGGCCCACCTCAATGGCAGAGTGGCTAGTACAATCCTCATTTTCTAGACACAGAAATTGACCAAAAAGACAAGATACAACCAAGATGAACACAAGAGAATTTATTACCTATGTGACCTTCACCACCTGTGGATTCAATAGCCTCTGAGGTCCCTTTTACATGCTCCAACTCAATTTCTTTCTCTCTCATTCCCTAACCCCATCTCTCTCTCTCTCTCTCTCTCTCTCTCTCTCTCTCTCTCTCTCTCTCTCTCTCTCTCTCTCTCTCTCTCTGTCTCTCTCTCTCTCTCTCTCTCTCTCATTCCCTTCTTCCTCTGTCTTTGTCTCTCTCTCCTCCCTCTCTCTCTTTACCTCTCCTCCCCCCTCTGTCTTTGTCTCTGTCTCTCTCATTCCCTTCTCCCTCTGTCTTTCTCTTTGTCCCTCTTTCTCTCTCTCTGCCTGTGTCCTTTATCTCTGTCTCTCTCTATTTTCTGTTTGTTTGCTCTTATCTATTTTTGGACAGAAGACGTGGTATTGGCCCAGCTTCTGCCAATGGTCACTTCTCTCTGGGTCTGTTTTCTCCTTCTAACCATATCTTGCTTACCTCAAAAGAATGACTGTGAAGATCAATTTAGATAATGGTGTAAAATATGCTACAAAAATAAACCATAAATTGCAATGCCAGTAATTCTATTTACTACCTTTGTTATTTTGAATGTAATGGCTTTGGATTTTTTTTTAATGGAAACACTTGAGTTTCTAAAGAGCCTGAGAAGACACTAACACGGCTGATGGGGTGGGGCATATGTGGGGTCCCTTCTCTGAGCTATATAGTTTCTTTATCCATAAAGTAAGGAAGTTATTTGCAGGATGCCTTTCTGACTAACCCCCAGTGTGCTACTTTCCATCTCTTAGAAGGATTTAATAAAATACCTTCCCCACCCTCTCCACCATGGGAATTCCTAAAACAGACCTGTCCTGTCTCTTTTGGCCCTGCTTGATCCTTGACCTAAATGGTCCTTGTATATTAAAGAGATTTCATTTAGTTGGGTAAGAGAGGAGGATGTTTGCTTAACTACTTTCCCTTAACTGGCTGCTTTTTTCCCCTTAACTCCTAATATTGTTCTCTCAAATAATTCTACCAGCTTCCCCTTCTTTCTCTCTCCATGACACAGAGGCCTGAGTTCAAAATCTATCTAGGCCTGACATATCTGGACTCTGAGAGGCCCTGCTGTTCCAAGGACAGCCATCATTGTCCTTCTCTTGCCTTCTCATAAAAAAGGAAGAGCAGAAGAAAAGAGGAGGCCTGGGGTAGGAGTAGCAGTTGGCCACACTTTTGGACCAGAAAGTTCAACCTTTCATGGAGTCAGAATGTTAGAGGTGGAATTCTCTTGCCTGAATGATTGTTGTTTCCCAGCCATACCCCGCCCCCATTAGTGAGGAAGCTGAGACCCAGAGACGGGCACTGGTCATTGAGGCTCTATTTAGAATCATAAAGTTCATCTGCCCTTCACAGAATGAGAATGTTAGAGCTGAAACCTCACTTGCTCTAGAATGATTATAACATTACTGTTTTCCCCAACCACCCCTTACAGGTTGGGAAACTGAGATCTAGGGAGGAGGGGCAGTGCTTTGTCCAAGGCTAGACTTAGCAAATAAAATTCAATCTCCTCCAAGAATCAAAATGTTAGAGCTGAAAATCAAACTGGCTTTTAGAATTACTATCCTTGCTCTTTGCCCACTCTACTCCTGCCCCATTTGGACAGGTGGGGAAACTGAGATCCACGCAAGGGGGCAGTGGTTGTCAAGGCTGAGTAGACTGCATCAATCTTCACAAAGAATCAGGATATTAAAACCGGAACTCACACCACCTCTAAGAGAAGGACTATATACCCTAGCTCTTTCCCTAAACCTCTATAGGTGAAGAAACTGAGACCCAGAAAGGGAAGGGCAGTAGATGTCAAGGTTCCACTTAGAATCATCTAGTTCATCTCCTTCACACAATAAGAATGGTAGAGCTGGAAACTTGCCCTAGAATGATTTTCATTGTTAATTCCTTAGCCCTCTCCCCACCCCTATTACAGATGGGGGAAACTGAGGCTCGGGGATGGAGGGGCAGGGATGTCACACTTAGAGATCATCTAGTTCATCCCCTTCACACAATAAAAATATTAGATCTGGGACTCTCACTAGTCCTAGAATGACTAAAAACCGTTGTTGTTTCCTCCTCCCCCACCTCCTTCTCCCCACTCCACCTAGATACATAGGGCAGTGTATTATAATCAAAAGATTTCAGGTAGCTCATGGCAGCCAAGACTAGATCCAGGTCTTCTGCCTCCTTCCCAAGCTCCCAGTGGAATAACAAAAGGCAATTTGCTAAGTCTGCTGTCATTCCCACTGGCCTACCATCTTCAACCATGCGTCAGATTAAAGTGACAGCAGGCTAATAAAATGAATTTCAAGAAATGCTGGGAAATCTATACTGTGGCTTGGACTACAATTACTTTTCAGGCTTCTTCCCATTCCCTTGAATAATTAGATGGTTCAAATCTCCAACATCTAACAGATGCCTAGTTGTCAGGCCAACCTGATCAATAGATGCTGAAACACTCACCATACAGTGGCAGCTTTGCCTTTGAGAACATCAGACCTCTACTAATGGCCTTCTCTGATGCTTCATCATGTCATGTTCTCCAAGGCTACTAGCCTTGGAGAACGTGTACATTCTGGTAGACATCAGTTAATAAGTCTGGCCAGGCTGGGAGTATGCACCCAAGGACCAGCCCCTATCTCTCAGCAGACTGGCTGCACAGAGTAATAAATCTTTTAGCCACAGAAATGCTCAAGACCTTTTCAAAGTGTCAACAGTGAAATTGCTGGTCATAATGGCCAAAAGAATTCATCACCTTGCAGCCAATTGGCTGACAGACTTTGAGACATAACAGACATGTAGACTGTTCTCAAAGGCACTGAGAATGAGCATCAAAGGCCACTGAACTGATAATAATTTATAATTAGTATAACTGGTAATTTATAATAATAAGAGCCAGTGTTTAGTGCTTTCAGCTTTGCAAAGTGCTTTACCTATGTTAACTCATACCTTGTGTTGTGTTAAAAATGGAAAAGAGATATAAAAAAAGGATCCTCACGGGTCCCCAGGCAAAAAAGGCCAGGCCCCAGGTGAGACCAAACAGGAAGGTGAGGCTCATGGTACTCTTGAGGTCACATAGGATCGTCTTTCTCCACACTTTCTGCTTCTGGAATTGCATGGAATTGATTTGGAAAAGAACAGTGAAGAACATGGGTAGATTTATGAGAAATATGAGGCAAAAATAGGCCACGATGGAGATGTAAAAGATAAGGTCATCTTGAATCCAGCAGCTGTGGGAGGAAAAAAGGCAGAGAAAGGGGGAAAATATGTCAAGGAGAGGAAAAATAGGAACTCAAAAGAATTTTCTAAACCAGCAGGTCCTGACTACCCCCCCACACACACACATACACATTTTACAAAGGAGGAAAATGAGGCCCAGAGAGAGGGAATAACTTGCTTGAAGTCACATACAGGTAGCACTAGAACTCGGGTCTTCAGACTCCCAGTCTAGGGCTGCACCATGAAAATGGCATCTATTACCTCAAAGATGGCATTTATTGGGGCAGCTAGGTGGCCCAGTGGATAGAACACCAGCCCTGGAGTCAGGAGGACCTGAGTTCAAGTCTGGCCTCAGACACTTAACACTTACTAGCTGTGTGACCTTGGGCAAGTCACAACCCCATTGCCTAGCCCAAAAAAGAAAAGAAAAGAAAGATGGCATTTATTAATTACCTCACACTTACTATAGAGTAGGACTGAATGTAGCATCTTTGAAGTCCAAGTCTCTGAAACCAAGGCCCAGAGAAGGTTAAGTTGCTTGTCTCAAGTGGCCAAGTGAGAATTAGAAACTCAGGTCTGGGAACTCCTGGTCCACTGTGCCAAGTCCCCATCTGAACCAGAGTTAGCTCCTTCTTTGAAAGTTCACACTCAAGGGGCAGCTAGATGGCACAGTGGATGGAGCACTGGCCCTGAAGTCAGGAGTACCTGAGTTCAAATCTGGCCTCAGACTAAACACTTGACACTTACTAGCTGTGTGACCCTGGGCAAGTCACTTAACCCCAATTGCCTAACCCCCCCCAAAAAAAAACAACCCCCCCCCCAAAAGAAAGTTCACACTCAGAGTTGGAAGGGCTTTTAAAGGCTGTCTAAACATAACTGACAAGTGCCCATTCCACTTCTTCTTAAAGATTTACAGTGGGGGGAGAGCCACTGCTTCCCAAGGCAGCTCATTCCAGTCTGGGACAGACCTTGGTGCTAAGAAAAATGACCCTTACAAATCAGGCCGAAATTTGCTTCCTTACAATTTCTACCAATCGTTGCTCCCATTTCTGCCCCTAGGGCCTAATGAAACAAGTTGAATCCCACTCCATTTTCTCAGATACAGTGAGGCTGTCAATGGTAATGAAAACACAATGGAAGGAGAATTGAGGAGGAGCATGTTGTGTTATGTGAATTTCAAGCCTCCCACTCTCTAGCCGTGACAGGGACAAAGGGAAGTGCTAGGCCCTAAGGGGGTGATGGACGGTGTTTTTCTGTTAAGAAGTGTGCAATGGTGCATGTGTAACATCTCCAATTACCTACCAGAGGCATTCATTAATCATCTCTCTGTTGTGGGACATGGGTATAAGACCAATTTAATATAATAGCCAACAATCTTGTAGTCTGCTGATCCCCCCTTTTCCTCTGCAGACCCACAAAGCAACAAATATTTGTACCTTACTTTAAGGTTCTTTGAAGCATTTCCCTCACGACCCCATAATAATGATCCCCATTTTACAGGAAAGGGTAACTGAATCAGAAAGAGAAACTTAGAAACTTCCTATGTTTTCAAGTAATAATAATAATCATAATAGCTAACATTTATATAGCAGTTACTGTGTGCCAAGTACTGTGTTACTAAGCAAGCATTTTACAAATTACCTCATTTGATCCTCACAACAGCCCTGGGAGGTAGATGCTCTTATTATCATCCCCATTTTACAGATGAGGAAACTGAGGCAAACAGGTTAAAGTGACTTGCCCAGGGGTTACACAGCTATTAAGTTTCTGAGGCTGGATTTGAACTCAGGTCTTCTTGACTCTCAGCCTGGTGCTTTAATATCTACTGCATCACCTAAGTGCCTGTTTCATGAGGGTGCTATCATCTAGAAGAAAAAGGATGAGACTTGCTCTGTTTGGTCTTAGAGAACAGAAGTAGCAACAGTGGAACTGGAGATTGCAAGAGGCAAATATAAGTTTGACATGAGAAAAACTCTCTATCAATGAAGAACGCAGTGTCCCAGAGACGGGTGGACTGTTTCAGAAGGTAGGAGTCTGCAGGCCTTTAGAGGACATTCCTGATCTGCTAGGGATTTGACTGTTAGTATCTCTCAGTGGTGGGGAATCAGCTTCAGGAAGATCAGGCTCTGCCAGAGAAACCAATCAATATGGTCGATGGAGTTAAATGAACCCTGGACTTGGAATCAGGAAGCACCGATTTGACCAGGTTCATCTAGCTCTAGACCCTAGACAAATCCATGAACCTCAGTTTCCTCAGTGCCCCAGACAACTAAGACAAAGTTGCAGAGTGTGTGCAGATCTACACTGGGAGAGGGAGTTTTCACACTGGGAGTTTCCTACATAGGCCATAAAGAGACTATATCATGAGATTTCTCTAGCAACATCATCCTCTGATGCTGCTTGAATCCTGAGCTCTCAGTGGGGTAACCGAAACTCTAAGAGGATGAAAAAGTGGGAGCCTCCAAGATATGTCTATCATGTGAGGTCTGCCCTAGCTGTGTATGAAGAGGCTTGCCCCCAGGGTGGCACCACAATCTGGAGAGCTGGGCTTGAGTCCTCCTTCGTGTGACCACACCATTGACTTTGGAAGGGCAGCTGGGCTACAATAGGCATGGCAAGCTGTCACCCACACCCTTAGTGCAGGCTAATCTACTTCCTCTTAAGGCAACTCTTTCCACTTTAGCTACATCTAATTGTCAGAAACTTTTTTCTTTCCATCAAGCTGAAATTTGTGCCTCGGAAAATTTCTACCTATTATTCTTTTTATGTCCTCTGGAACCAAGTAAAATGAGTGTCGGAACCCTCTCTCACAAGACGGCACTTCAAATATAGAATAATAACTGACATTAATAACTAACACAGTATTTTATATACATAAGATAAAAAGATCCCACATATAGACCTGGAAGGGCTTCAGAGGCCATCTTTTTCAGATGGGGAAACAGAGAAGGTTATGTGACTTGCTCAGGGTCATACTGCTTTTAAGTGTCTAAGGTGAGATTCAAACCCAGGTCTTCCTGGCTCTAGGTCCAGCATTTTGCCCACTAAATCTTCACTGCTTCTGCTCAAAGACAGCTTTCATATGCCCCCTGAACCTTCTCTTCTTCAGGCTAAGCATCTGGGGATGGTTCCTTTAACCTATCCTCATATAGCATGATCTCAAGGCCCCTTCACCATCCCAGTCCACCGAAAATGTGGCTTCCAGGACTGAACCTGGCACTAGAAGTGTGGTCTGACTCATGTATCCTTAGCCCTGGTCAGACCATTATAGGAAGGCATGGCAATGGGGGATGAGGAATGGAGCGGGGTGGCAGGGATGTGGCAGTTGTGTTTTGGTCCAGTGGCAAGAGCACTTAATCAATGAAATCAGTCTTGCTTGAACTACTGAAATCTGGGAAACCAGATCTCCACTTACTTTATCCACTAGAAAGTCCCAGTACATCCCTCCCCTTCACGTGCCTCTCCCGCCACGTCACACAGTTTTCATTCATTCATTGAAGACACTTGTACTTACAATGATGTGGATGTCTTCAAAATGCCATAAAAATCCCTCTTCACGATGAGGATGCTCCCAATGATGACTGCTGGTACTCCTAGTGGGGAATCGGGAAGGGAGGGGTGAACAAAAGAAGACCACATTAGGCAGGAACAGAGACAGATAGCATACCTTAAGAAACCTCCCACCATGTTAAATGAGTCACAGATGGATGGGCATCAGAACACCATTGTTTGTCAATTCTCCAAAGCTAAACATCCTGAGGAGGAGTTTTCCAATCTGCTAACAGAAACAGTGGGCCAATGGCTCACCCACAGCACCCACAGCTTATTATAAACAGCAGCCGGGCCAAAAAGCAACTTGGCAGCTGGTGCACTGGGATGCCGATTTTCATCAAGCATTTCTTCCTCCAAAGTAGGGCTCCCCAGGTTTCTCCTTTGGCACACTGCTTCCAGGCAGGTGCTTGTCCCTTTAGAGCCCTGCCAGGCCATCTTGGAAAAAAAAGGAATAATCAACTCACCAAGTGATTACTTGTGTGTTCTTTCAGCCTCAGTCTCCTTAGCTATAAAATGGGTATAATAATCCTGGCACTGAGAGATAGCACGGCCTAGTGGGCAGAGGACTGAACCTGAGTTCAAATCCTGCTTCTAATTGGCTATGTAACCATGGACAAGTCACTTGATCTCAAAGTTGCAGATGAGTTGCTGACCTACCTCAGAAACTACCACAGTTTCTACATCATAGGGAATTTCAGTGAAATCATAGACCAAATAAAAAATCTTCTAAGAGTTTTTTTCTTGTCCCAAGAACTTTGAGGCATACAGTTTTGCACATAATCATGGGATATCAGATTTTAAAGAGAACTGGAGAGCATTTAGCTCAATGACCTCATTTTACAGAAAAGGAAACTGAGATCTGGAGAGGGGAAACTTACACACAGGTAGTAAAGAGTACAGATGGGACTAGAACCCAATTCTCTTGATTCCAGAACCCAGTATTTATTCCACTATACCAAAGCATGCTATAAGCTATTTTACAAAGCTAGTCTAAGATGCCAGTGGGAATCTTGTGCCGTGAGGCGGTGGCAGTGTCAAAGGAGAGGAGGGGGTATATGCAAGAGATGTTATGAAAGGAAAATCGACAGGCACCAGACTGGATATGGAAGAGGAGCAGCTTAGGAGGTGAGGATGACACCTAGGTTTCAAGCCTAGGTGACTGGGAGGATGGTGTTCCCCTCAACAGTAATAGGGAAGTTAGGAAGAGGGAAGGGTTTGAGGAAAAGATGATGAGTTCTGTTTGGGACATGTTGAGTTCCAGATGTCTGAAAGGCAGCTGGAGATGTGAGACTGAAGGTCATCAAAGAGGTAAAGGCTGGATAGCTAGATTTGAAAATCATCAGCATCGAGATGATAATGGAATCCCTGGGAGCTGATGAGATCAACAAGTGAAATAATACAGAGGGAGAAGAAAAGAGGGCCCAGGACAGAGCCTGACCTGGGGAAAGATCCAACAAAGGAGACTAAGAAGGAGGGGGCTGATGGGGAGGAGAACCAGGAGAGAGTAGCATCAAGAAAACATAGAGAGTTAATCTCTCTTGGCCTCAGTTTCCTCATTTGTAAAATGAGACAGTTGGTCTAGATCAGGGGTGACACATGGGATGTAGTTTGCTGAAACCCAAGCTAAATGATGTCTAATGTCCCTTCTAGCTCTAAATCTCCTATCCTTTGAATCCATCCGTTTAACCAGTTCCAAATCCATTTAATCCTAGTATTGTTTAATCTTCACCTCTGCATCTTTGGAGAATGATATGAGATACTTTGGAGAGAGCTAGGTGGAGGTGCAGTGGATAGTGCCCCAGGTCTGGGGTCAAGAAGACCTGAGTTCAAATCTGGCTCAGACACTACCTGTGTGATCCTGGGCAAGTCACTTCACCCTGTTTGCCTCAGTTTCCTCATCTGTAAAATGAGGTGGAGAAGGCACTCCAGCATCTTTGCCAAGAAAATCTCAAATGGGATCACCAAGAGTCAGACACAACTGAAATGACTGAACCACCACCACCACAACAGCAAATGAGATACTTTGTCGAGTAGATAAGTCCAAGGAAGTAGCCTGAAGGTACGATTAAGTGACTTGCCCAAGGAAGCTTAGCTAGGAAGCAGTAGCATAGCTAAAAAGCACTGAAGCTACCATATGAATTCAGGTCTCAGGACTCCAAATCTGATACACTTTCAAACACTATGCTTCTCTTTTAGAAGGCAGTCCAATATAGTGCAAAGAGCGTTGTACTCGGAGTAAGGAAAGATCTGTCAAATGACCTTGTCAGTCCCCCATTCATGTGGTTACCATTGCTCCTTCTTATCTTTAGGATAAAATACACTCTTGAGTATTCTTCACTATCTGGCTTCGGGACTACTTATACATTATTCCCCATCCCTGCTATACACATATCCTCGTTTCCAGCCAATCTGGCCAATTCCCCATGCCCCGAACACAGTTTTCTATCTCCCCCTTCTGTCTCCCATGCAGTCCTTTGGAAACATTGAAGCACGCCACAAATAGGATTTGAATGAAGAGACAACAAAATGGAGGAACAGCTTGAGACCCAAAGCCAGAGGCATCATTACTTACCCCAGCCAACCAGGCAAAATTTAAGTATGTAATTTTTCACATAGATGTTGAAGACTTTGACCAGAGTAAAATACATGTGGACAGCTTCCAGGCCCATCCACATGAATGAGGAGATCAGAAAATAATGGAGCACCACAGCCATGGCGATACAGAGGCCAGGGTTTTCAAAGGCCCCCAACCAGGAACTGGTCAGAAATGACAAGTTCAGCATCAGCAAGGAAATACACAAATTGATCAGGATTTTGGATGGATTATCTTGACGAAGTTGGCTAAAAGGAAAAAAAAACCGTGAGTAGAATTTAACTGGCATCTCTGCACATTTGTTTTGGCTTGTTTTTTAAGTGCTATCAATGGCTTTTTGTTTGTTTTAATATCCAGCTAAGATGGCGCAGTGGATAGAGCTCTGGCCTTGGAGTCAGGAGGACCTGAGTTCAAATCCAGCCTCAGACACTTGACACTTACTAGCTGTGTGACTCTGGGCAAGTCACTCCACCCCGATTGCCTCACCAAAAAAAAAGAAAAAAAAAGTTATTTCCAGCTATACAGCTCCCCTAAATCAGTGAGTCTTATTCTATAAAGCAGGTTCTTAGTCTTTTGGGTGTCCTGGACCTCTTGGGCAATCAGCCTGGTGAAGCCTATGGACTCCTCAGAATTAGGTTTTTAAATGTATAAAATATGTAGGATTACAAAAGAAACCAATTACATTGAATTCAGTTATCAAAATATTTTAAACAAATTCATATACCCCAGATCAAGTGCCCTTAGTTTACAACGAAGACCAAAAAAAAAAAATCAATTAAGAAAAACCAGGAGACGCGTTGTTTACATCTGACTGTGTCTATCAGAATTCTACACTCATAGTTCCCCATTTCTCCAAGGGAAAAAGAAAGCTACATTTCCTCATCTGTTCTATGAGGCCAAGCCTGATCATTAGAATTACAAAGTATTCATCCCTGTACATTTTTAAATGGTTTTCATCTGGCAGACATCCTTTTTTAATGCAAACTTGTGATTTCATCTGTGTGGGGGAACTTTTGGTGTAGAAATTCCCTCCAGTGATGCACAGCCGCAACTGGTCTATAATTTACAATCTTAGACAATTGCCAAGGACACATAGAAGCAAAGCAAGCAGTCCCACAGAGGCAAGACTTGATCCCAGGCTTCCTGACTCTATCCACCTTCCCATGCTGTCTCTCTCCTACCTTACGCCTGCTGAATAGACACGCACATAAATATATATATGAATATAACGTATACGTACATGTTTGTATGCATGTATACATTTTTGTCATTCAGTCATTTCCATTGCGTCTGACTCTTCACAAACCCATTTGGGGTTTTCTTGTTTCCTTCTGCAGCTCATTTTACAGATGAGAAAACAGGCAAACAGGGTGAGGTGACTTGCCCAGGGTCACACAGCTAGTAAGTGTCTGAGGCCAAATGTGAAATCAGGAAGATGAGTCTTCCTGACTCTAGGCCCAGCACTCTAACCACTGAAGAGCCACCTAATTGATATACATATACATTTCATATATGCATGATATATACATGCCTGTAAGGCAGCACAATATAATCAAAAGAACATGGAACTTAGAGTAAGTTGACTTGGGATTAGGGTTCCACTTCCAAAACTCAACAGTTGTGTGATCTCTGGACAAGTCACCTTCCCCCTTTGTGCCTCAGCTTGGTCCTCTGCAAAATGGGATCGATCATACTTGTTTCTCCCACCTCACGGGGCTATTGCTAAGAGAAAGCACTGTATAAGTGGTAAAACACTCTACAAATGGGAACTATGACTAGGATTTTACAGGAGAGATTGGAATGGAAAAGCATTTATTAAGCTCTTTCTAAGTGGCACCATGATTGGGTGTCCGTTGCATTTGTCAGAGTTCTTAAGTCTTTCATGGTTCCTTTCTTTTACAATTTTGTAATCATTATAATTTTGTAATCACTATTTTCCTAGTTCTTACTGCACTTTGCATTAGTTCATACAAGTCTTCCTACTGTTCTCTGAATCTGACCTGTTTGTGATTTCTTATGGTACAAAAATATTCCATTACCTTAATATACCACAATTTGATCAGCCATTCCCCAACTGATGGGCACCCCCCCCACACACACACATCCATGTACTTAGTTTCTAGGGGCTTTTTTGTTACTATTAAAACGACTACTACAAATATTTTTGTACATATGAATCCTTTTCCTCTTTCTTCAATATGTAAACCTAGAAGTAGTGTATTGTGAGGCCAAAGTGTATACACAGTTTAGTGACTTTGGGGAATGGTTCTGAATTGCTTTCCAGAATGGTTGGATCAATCCACCAACAATGTATTAATGTGCCTGTTTTCCTGCAGCCCCTCCAACATTTGTCATTTTTCATTTGTTATCTTTGCCAATCTAATGGATATAAGATGGAACCTCAGAATTTGCATTTCTCTTAGTATTCGTGATTTGAAACATTTTTTTCATATGGTGGCTGATAGCTTGAATTTTCTTCTTTTGAGAACTGTCTGTCCCTATCTTTTGACTATTTATCTATTGGGGAATAATTCTCGTTCTTATTGAATCAGTCCCCCACACATCTACATATTTGACCTTTATCAGAGAAGTCTGCTGCAAAGATTTTTTCCTAGTTAATTATTTCCTTCTAATTTTAACTACATTGATTTTTGTTTGTGTAAAAAGTTTTCAACTTTATACAATCAGATTTTTATCTTCTGTGATTCTTTCTGTGCCTTGTTTGGACAATAACTATTACTTTATCCATAGTTATGCAATGTGTCTCCTTCCCTGCTCCTCTAATTTGTCTACTATGTGACCTTTTATATCTAGGTCATGCATCCATTTGGAACTTATTGTGGTATGTGGTATAAGATGTTGGTCTGAACCTAATTTCTAATAGACTGCTTTCCACTGTTCCCAACTGTTTTTGTTGAATAATGAGTCCTATTCTTAATACTAAGGGTTCTTGGGTTAATCAAACACTATGCTTCCATGACTGTTTTTTTCTGGACCTTGTACCTTATCTATTCCATTGATCAAAGTTTTTATTTTTTAACTAGTTCCAAATAGATTTTGATGGTTACTGCTTTATAACGTAGTTTGAGATCTGGTGCTGCTATATGCCCTTCTTTCTTACCTTCTTTCCCCCATTATTTCCCTTAAGATTCTTGGCCTTTTGTTCTTCCAAGTGAATTTTGTTATTTTATTTTCTTGTTCTATAAGGTAACCCTTTGATAGTTTAGTTTATATGGCATTGAATAAGTAAATAAATTTGAGTAAGATTAGCCATTTTTATTACATTGGCATGGACCATCCATAAGGAACTAATATCTTTCCAATGATTTAAAACTATTTCTAGAAAAAGTGGTTTGTGGTTGTATTCATATAATTCCTTGGCAAGTGGACCAATTACCTGCCATCCTTTAAGAATAACGTAGATACCCTGCTCATCCCTTTTAATCAGGTCTGTTTTCACTGTTGCCTTATTTGAAACCACAATTGCTACTACTGCCTTTTCAAATTCACATGAAGCATAAAAAATTCTGCTCCAGAGAGGGTGGAGCCAAGATGGCAGAAACCTCTCAAATTCCTCTCGAAAAAACTTTAAAATAAAGCCTCAAAATGAATTCTGGAGGGGCAAAACCCACAATAAGATGGAGTGAAACAATATTCTAGCCCAAGACAACTTAGAAGATCAGCAGGAAAGGTCTGGCTCATTGCAGAGGGGAAAATATAATACAATGCATGGCACCCACACTGCCGCCCTCCCAGTGGGCCCAGGGCACAAGCCAGCAGCAGGCCTTGGGGGCAAGTGAATTTGCACCAGCACCTTCTGCCTTCTGGAGCTCTATGCCTTGACTGTAAGGGGATTGGACAATTGGTCACAAGATTGCAGGAGACCCTCAGCTGGCACTAGACCTGTAATCAGGAAGACCTGAGTTCAGATGTGGCTTTAGACATTTACTATTTATGTGACCCTGGGCAAGTCTGTTTGCCTCAGTTTCCTCATCTGCAAAATAAGGATAATAATAGCACCTAACTCCCAGGGTTGTTGTAAGATAAGATAATATTTGTAAGGTACTTTGCAAACATTAAAATATTATATAAATGCTAGCTATTACTACTATTAGGTTCTCTGAGGTATCAAGACCTGCCCCCACTTCTATCCCTACCTAAAGTTGTGTCTAAACCATGCCAAATATTTAAATTAAAAACTGAAACCAAAATCTTTGCAGCAAGTTTCTTTGATAAAGATCTCATTCCAAAATACATACATACATATATACACATGTGCTACATGTATGGGATTGATTCAAATTTATAAGAACAAGAGCTGTTCTTTAAAAGATAAATGGTCTAAAAATAGGAATAGGTCGTTTTAATAGGAAGAAATCCAAGCTATTAACAACCACATGAAGAACGCTCCAAATCAATAGTAATAAATAGAGAAATGCAAATTAAGGAAACTCTGAGGTACTACCGCACACCCATCAGTCTGGCAAAGATGACATAAATGGAAAATGACAAATGCTGGCAGAGCTGCAGGAAAACAGGCACACTAATGCAGAGCTGTGAACCTCTCCACCCATTCTACAAAGTGATTTGTAAGTAGGCCCAAAAAGTCACTAAGTTGGGCATACTCTTTGACCCTGTCATATCACTACAAGTCCTAAATCCAAAAGAGACTGAAGAAAGAGGAAAACAAACCAAATATACAAAAATATTTGTAGCAGCTCTTTTTGTAGTGGCCAAGAAGTGGAAACTAAGGGGACAACACCTCCACCAATTTGGGAATGGTTGAACAAATTAAGGTATGTGAATGTAATGGGATATTATTTGCCATAAAAAAAATGACGAAATATATACTGTTTTAGAGAAATCTGGGAATACTTGTACGAAATGATGCAGAGTGAAATGAGCAGAACCAGAACAATTTATACAATACCATTATAAAGATAAACAACTCCAAAGGACTTAAGAACTCTGATGAATGCAATAACCAACTTCTGATTTCAAAAGACTAATAATGAAGCATGCTACCTACACACCTCCTGACAGAGAGGTGAGTGACTCAGGGTATGGAATGAGACATATAATTTTTATTCAAGGGCAATTTGGGAATTTGTTCTACTTGACAATGCATATTTGTTACAAAGGTTTTAATTTTCAGTTTTTTTTTCCCCAGTGGGGGGAGGTAGGATGAAGAAATAAATGCTTGTTAGTTTTTAAAAATGTTCTTAAAAAAGGGGCAGCCCCCATCCCCCAAACCAAATGAAACCACCAGCTGTGTTCCCTGATATTACTCAAAATTTGGATGTTTCTCAGGGTGTAACAGGCACAATCTAAGCTTTACCCAACAAAGACAGTTTAACCCTATAGAAACTGGCCAAGCATTTTCTTGGATTTTCCCTGTTTACCTTCTGTCCCCTGACTTCTTAACAGTCCAATTATATTTAACTCAAAAAAAAATTGCTGATAAACGGAGTCCTAATTGGCCCAACCTTTTAAAACCTGCCCACTTCATTTTTCAATTGGTCAGGCCCCTTCTTTTGTTCTCTGCCCTTGAAATGTGCATACTAAGTAGGAAAATAGCATCAAGGATATAGAGTTATACACACACATATACACAGGCACACAGAGAAAAGATTGCATCTATTCACCGAAAAGCTAGGTAAGTCACCATTGCAGTTCCCAGAAAAAGAGAAGAGATTCCACATCCAGAATATGTTATGATTGTTAAGATCCGTTCATTGACCTTATCCACTTCAGACCTGGACAAATCCTAAGGAACAGAATGCATACATATTAGAGACTCAACATGGGAGACCTGGGGCAAAATGGTGTGGGCATCCCAAAATGGGAGGCTCTCAAGGTCTGCCACTAGGCACTTCTGCCATCACCATCCATGGATTTCTTTTAAGCTGTGGACTTGAAAACTCAGCTCTGTTCCTTAATTCCTCTCAATACTCCCCCTGGCCAACATTTTAGGCCAAATTATGCCAACAAATTAGGACCTACTTTCCTACCCTGCAAAGAATCTCTGGTTGCAGAGTATATGTGTATGTGGATGGATGGATGGATGGATGATATATATATATATATATATATATATATACATATACATACATACATACATACATACATACATACATACATACACACAGAGAGATATATCATAGGAATATAGAATAGCTACAGAAGTCACTGTTGTCCAGTAACCTGGGGAGGGAGGGGGTGGAGTGGTATCATACAAGCAAGAAGTGGCAAAACTTGGGTTATCTGTCTTAAATCCATTGCCTATTATTCTGTACCACAATGCCTCTGTAATACAGGTATGAAGGGGGTTTCACATCCAGGCAAGCCCCATGAGATCACAGCATGTCAGAACTAGAAGGGATCTTAGAGATTCTCTATTCCAACTCCTATATCTTTATAGATGGACATTAAAAAGCCTTTACAGGGGGAAGCTAGGTGGTGCAGTGGATAGAGCACCGGCCCTAGAGTCAAGAGGACCTAAGTTCAAATCCAGCCTCAGACACATAACACTTTCTAGCTGTGTGACCCTGGGCAAGTCACTTAATCCCATTGCCTAGCCAAAAACAAAAAACAAAAAAGCCTTCACAGAAGATATAACATTTGATTTGGGCCTTAAAGAATGGTCATAATGGCTTTTGGTTGAGATGGAGGGAAAGTTCAGGTATAAGGTGATGGAGGGAAGGGTATTTCAGGTGCAATGTCTTAACATGCGTGAAGATGTGGTGATAGGAAAGCACAGACATGTTCAGAGAACAGAAAATAGCCCATTTTGGCTCAAGTGAAAGTGGAGCATGTAAGTGGAAAGAGAAAATTGTAAGCCTAAAGAAGTAAGCTGAACCAAATTGTGGAGAACTTTGATGCTCATCTTAGGAGTTTGTATTTTGTTTTGTATGTAGTGGGAGGCCATTGAAGGGCTTGAGGCAGGGGCATGATGTGGTTACATACACGAATATGGCAGTGGTGGGTACAAAATACTTTCAATGCCCAGGTGGGATGTAATAGGGGACTTTTTAACTAGAGCAGAGGATGGTATGGTATGGTATGGTAAGGAGGGTACTAAAAAACCTGGGGATTCTGGATGTGCCCCCATAACCACAGTCCAGTAGAGGAGAGCCAGATTTATCTTAGGGCACGTCAGACCTGGGATAGTAAATTTCCAGCAGTAATCTCATATTTATCATTCCATCTCTGTCTTTGAATATTTCTTTCCGGAGCTTTAGGTCTAATCTACCCCAGGGCCTTGGAGATCCCAAAGCAACAGCTTTCACTTACACAAAACTTTCTTCTGTGACTCAGCTTACATGCAAATGTTGTTTGCAATTTAACGACATTTGCCTCAATTCTCTGTGGGAAAGATTCATGGCCAACTTACCATTAAGACTCCAAAGTGAGTAGGATGATTACACTGACAGATTGTATAATTGACATCCGTTTTGTTTACTTCACAGCCTGATGAATTCCATCCACCTAGTCCATCTGCAGGACACAGAAGGGAATTTCAAAGCAATTTCATTTTTCTCAGAAATGTTTAGCTTTGCATTGGACAAACACCATGCGAACGTGTGTTAATGATTGGTATTGTCTGGTAGGATGGTGAAATGGCAGCGTAACTTAAAACTGAAATCCAATTAAGTCTAAAAGACAAAATGACTGTGGGGACTTAGTATATGGCATAACTTCTCTGGATTTCATTTTTCTTGTTTTGGTATTAAGCCTCTTTAGCTAGGATGAACTAGAATTAGCAGCAGCAGCAACCCTACTACCACATACAAGTGATGGAAGGAAGGCTGGTCTAAAGGACAACAGGCAAAAAGAACAAGAGGTTCTTAGAGGTTGGGAGGGATTGGGGCTGGACATTTGGGCATCCCTCGGAGGCAATGGGATGGTCCTTAAGTACTAGGGGCTGCATGAGGCCTGCCAATGCAAATGCCCTTTGGTGTCTGCTAAGCTTGCCTGAGGGAACCATGGGGATCTAGAATTTCTTTGAGCCCAAGCCCAAATTCCACCCTAGAGAGACCTGGACTGCTAGGTGGATTCTCCAGGCCCTCTGATCTCCTTGAGAATGCCTTGGTTGTACTTCTAAGGACAATAAGGACCCAAATCATGATGAAAATTTTAGAGCATATATGGAGTAGAATCTTAGAAAACAGCTCCAGAACAAGCAGTTTCCCCTAGAACATGTCCTTTTAGGCCAACCCCATCGTTTGTACAGGCTCAAGAAACAAAGTAACTCAACAAAAGGTGGCATAACCATCTAGGCACTCATATATAACCATTCTCAGACTTCCTGGGGTAGAGTTAGAGGTGGGAAAAACAGTACAGCATGATAACTAGGGCTCTTTCACAGACTGTGAGAGACCCCCCCCCAAATACAAGAACCCACTCGATCCAATTCATAGCATACCAATTGATTACCCCCCAGAAAAGCTACTAGCACCCTCTAGTATTCCTACCTGCTGGTTTGGTTGAAAGAAGAGTGAAAACAAGGGAGAGAAGTATTGCTACCTTTTCTACTCCTCCCATCTCTTGGTAGTTTTCTTCTATCAATCCAAGGATGACTTGAGCTGGACTTTTTAATCAACTACCTCAGGCAGCCTGTCCACTATGTGAGTTTATGGGTTTTTTTAAGAGAAGTCACAGGCCCAGCTCATCCCAGTCCTCGCTTAATGGAAGAGTCTGAGACCTAAGGAAAAAATATGACTTGCCCAAGATCTCACAGGTTTTTGATAATCCCTGATTGGCTGGATGTAGGAAGCATGTGATCTTTCTGAGCCAATTAGAGAGCAGGATAGAGTTTGCCAAGCTAGAATTCCTCTGTACAGTCAACCAAACATAAGCAGCTATGTGCTTGGGCTTCTTCTAAACAACTGTGGTGTGCTGGCTTTAAAATCCATCCATTAGTAAAAGAGCCTTTTCTGTTACTATGGTGGAACTCTGGCCATACATTGCTTCATGTCAGCCAAGTAATGTAGGGCGGTGTAGAGAACGCAGGACTTGGAGGCAGGAAGACCCGAGTTCAAATTCTGCCTTAGATACTTGTTAGTTCTAAACAGGTCACTTAAATCTCTCTGGGTCTCCATTTCCTTATCTGCATAGTGGGTATAATAATAATGCCTACCTCACAGGCACAGGATTGTTATGAAGATCAAACAAGAAAATGTATTAATTTGAAAACCTTAAAAGTACCACTTAGATGTCAGCTACAGTGATGATGATGGTTATTATTATCATGATTGTTATGTGTTCCTTCAAGTTTCCATCTGCTAGCAAAGACCAACAGAATGAAAATTGAAAATATTAGACAATCCAAACATTTGACAAGATCCATAGAATACCTGAACTAGAAAGGGCCTAGGAGAAGATTTAGTTCAATGCACTCCATTTTGCAGATGAGGAAACTAAGGCCCTGAAATGGGAAGTGATTTGCCCAAAGTCACATAGCTAATAAGTAAAGCCTCTGTGATCCAGAGCCAAGACTGCTGACTCCAAAGCCAGGATTCTTTTTTTTTTCTTTTTTTTTGGGGGGGGGGTTGGCAATGGGGTTAAGTGACTTCCCCAGAGTCACACAGATAGCGAGTGCTATGTGTCTGTGGCTGGATTTGAACTCAGGTCCTCCTGAGTCCAGGGTCAGTACTCTATTCACTACTCCACCTAGCTGCCCCCAAGGCCAGGATTCTTTGTATTAAAACTGAGCTGCCTTTTATACTCAACTTCTGAGGTTATTAAATAATTTATGATTCCTTTTTTTAAAAACAACAGATTTACTCCCTTTAATTACATTTTGTTCGTCTTAATCTCAAGATTCTTTTGCATTCTCTGAGTATACACCAATAGAAGGCAGGAGAAGGCAGCCCCAAAGCATGCTGGGTGGCAGAGGAAAGTCTTCCTGCATATGGATGAGCCACAGGTAGAAAATGGAAAGGAAGGGGTAGCTAGGTGGCTCAGTGGATAGAGCAGCAGCCCTGGATTTAGGAGGACCTGAGTTCAAATCCAGCCTCAGACAGATAACTCTTACTAGCTGTGTGACCCTGGGCAAGTCACTTAACCCCATTGCCTAGCCAAAAAGAAAAAAAAGAAAATGGAAAGGCGGTGATAGTTTCATTTGACTCTTCCCCTTCTCCCCTTTCCCCACATGACATTATTCCTAAAGACCAAGCCACCAAAAGATGCAAGAAATAAATTTCTCCCAAGGAAAGTTAAAGAAACTCAAATACTGCCTGGCATACTCACCATTCTTCTCAAAGTCCCAGAATACACACTGGACATAAGCCCACTTCTGCAGAAAATAGAACCTAGCATTAATGGAGTCTCTTCTTGCAGCATCCAGGCAAAAAGACAAACACCTTTCCAGTTTTGCCAGGTTTGGGAGCTCTGCTTAGTAGGGACTCACATCATTTCTTAGTCAGTTTTAGGAACTGCCTTGTACATGAAAAGACTCCTTCATGTTTAAACAAGATCAAAGGATCTGCCAGGTACCCTTTAAAATATTTTATGAGGTGTTTGGGGATTTGACACAGTGTCTTGATCAGGGGAGGAGGTTTGTAGTATTCCCTATGCTGGTGGAATTAGAGTCCCATGATACCTTGGCTCAGACCTCACCTCAGACAAAGGGCCAAATTAGGGCCAGAACTGAAGTCGAATCTTACTTGTTCTAGGCTGGTCTGCCTCCTTACCAGGCCATAATGGACAGTCACAAAAACCCCAATCTTCTCTAAAATCTTCTGATAACCAAGACAGAGGACAAGATAAGGACCCAGTGGCCAAGTAGGGCAGGTTTGGGCACTGTGGTCTCCAGAAAGGGGAATTAGGCCACAAACCCAGAATGGCTGACATTTCACTCATAGGATCATAGATTCAGAGTTAAAGGGACCTTGAAGGTCATCCAGTTCAACCACCATTTTACAGATGAGGAAACTGAGTCAGAGAAGAGATGTTCAGTGGTTTGCCCAAAGTCATAAAAATGGCAAAGGTAGGATTAAAACCCAGGTTTCCTGACTTCAAATCCCCTGGACTTTCCCCCTGTATTGTGCTGCCTCAAATAAATCACCAAAATAGTATATTTGATTATCTTCTTTCTTATGGGCTAGAAACAAAGTCAGTGAAAAATGTGGCATACCTTATTGTTATAGAATCATTAATAATAATAATAATAATACCACCACCAACTAGCATTTATATTACATTTTAAGGTTTACAAAGCCTTTCACATATGTTATCTCATTTTATCCTCACAACAATCCTGGGAGATAGGTGCCATTATGATCCCCATTTTCCAGATGAGGAAAATGAGGGTGAGCAAGTAAAGTGACTTGTCTGGGGTCATCCAGCTAAATAAATATCTAAGGCAAAATTTTAACTGAGCTTTACCTGATTCCAATTCTGCCCTCTATCCACTGTGCTTCTTAGCTGCCACAGAATCATTTACATTTTAGGGTTGGAAGGGATCTCAGAGGTTACTGCTCCAACTGGTATCTAAATAGAAATCCTCTGTATGACTCTAACCTTTGCTTGAAGACCTCTGTGGATGGGGAACTCGCTATCTGCAAAGGCAGCCTCTTCTGCTTTGGATTAGCTCAAATTGGTAGGATATTTTCCCCTTATATGGAGCTGAGATGTGCCTTGGGCCTTTTAGATTAGGAAGAATAGAAGATAATTAGATTTTTTTTTCACTGAATAGAGGTTAACAGCAAAGGATGGCTCACAAAATCACAGAATTGCAGGGTGGGAAAAGACCTCCAACACTATCTGGTCCAACACATACATGCAAAAAGATCTCCTCCAGGGGCAGCTGGTGCTCAGCCCTGCAGTCTAGAGGACCTGAGTTCAAATGTGGCCTCAGATCCTTACTAGCTGTGTGACCCTGGGCAAGTCACTTAACCCAGATTGCCTCAAAAAAAAAAATAGGATGTCTTCCACACCATACTTGAGGGGTGGCCATCTGGCTTCTAGTGAGGGAGCCCATTCCACTTTGAGACAGCTTTCATTGTTAAGAAATTCTTCTGGGCAGCTAGGTGGCGCAGTGGATAGAGCACCAATCCTGGATTCAGGAGGACCTGAGTTCAAATTCGGCCTCAGACACATAACACTTACTAGCTGTGTGACCCTGGGCAAGTCACTTAATCCCTTTGCCTAGCCAAAAAAAAAAAATTAATTTTTAAAAAAAAAGTTCTTCTGCCTCAGTGGGGGTCTTTGCAAATTCTACCCCTGGCTGTCTTCTGGCACCGAGCAAATCATCTCTAATTCCTCTTACACATGATAGTGCTTCCTTTAAAAATTTGCAGGCAATCAGTATTTCTCTCCCCACCCCTCCCCGTCGGCTCCCAAGCCTTCTCTTCTCCAGGGCAAACATTCTGAATTCCTGGCATTGGAAGCAAGTAGATTTGGGTTCAAATTCCATCTCTGATACTAGCAAGTGCTTGTCCATGCAGCAGATAGAGGCCTAAACCTGGAGTCAAGAAGACCTGAGTTCAAATCCAGTCTCAGAAACTTACTAGCTGTGTGACCTTGGGCAAGTCACTTGATCTCTGTTTGCCTCAGTTTCCTCATCTGTAAAATGAGGATAATAATAGCACCTACCCCCCTCCCAGGGTTGTTGTCAGGATCAAATGAGATGATAATTGTAAAGTGTTTGTTACAGTTCCTGGCACATGGTAAGTACTATATAAATGTTAGTTATTGTTGTTATTATTACTATTATCATTCCAGCTGGATGATTATGAGCAAATCGCTTCATCTCTCCGAGCTTCATATGCCTGTCATACTTTCCTCGTCAATTGTTGTGAAGATGAAATAAGATCAAATATGTAAAGAACTTTGTAAACTTTAAAGGCCTATGTAAATATCAATTATTATTTTATTCTGCCGACTGCACTGAATCCACATTTATTCTGTGCTATTTATTCATAATACTTCTATGTTATTAGACTTTTAACTTCAGTAAGCTGTTATGCATCATTGGACATAATGAAGAAAAAAGATTGGTGATTTCATCAGTGTGGGTGCTGAGTGTCAGAGACTTTCCCAAGGTTACACAGTTAATAAGGGTCAGAGCCTAGGTCTCTCGACCCCAAATCCAGGTCTCTTATCCCTTCACCTTTCATTAATAACGGCTCAAATTTCTAGGGCTCATTAAGTTTTAAAAAGCCCTTTCTTCACAACAACTCTCTGAGATAGAGAGTTTATGTTACTCTTTCCATTTCACAGGTGAGAAAAATGAGGCACAGAGAAATTAATTGACTTGCCCAAGGTCACATATCTGGATTTGATCTTGAGTCTTCTGGTAGAGGGGCTCCTGACTGAACAAATGTAATTATTGTTGGGGACTCAGAATTCTTGGGGGCAGAGAGGGGTCACAGTGGCAAGTGGGCCAACCCACTTTGGCTTTTAGTGGCCTTTGGCCACCAACAAGGACTGGAGCTACTAGCAGGCAACCATTACTCTGCTTCAGGATCACATCAGCTAACTAGGAAAAACCTTTAAAAAACACATATACACACACTAAAAGAGTCTAGAATTTCAATGAGAGATGAAAGAATGTCACTAGAATCGTAACTAGGAATGCTTGTGCTTTGTACTTACACCACAAACTCTACTCAGGACAAGTGACACAAAATCCATTCTCAGAAGGGGGCAGGTAGAGACACAAGATCGTTATGGGGCGAGGGGTGGAGGGGGAGGGGCTGCTGGGGAAGGGCTAGGATAAGTAAGTTCAGAGGGGAGCTCACTCAAGCAAAGCCACTGGTGGCATCTATGTGCCAGATACTATGCTAAGTGTTGGAGATACAAAGATAAAACTGAAGATTCATTGCCCTCAAGGAATTTAAAAAAATTTTTTTTTATGGGAAACATCTGTTGTTCCCTTGTGACTAAAGGACTGCAAGTGTTATCAGCTCCCTGTATATTTGGCACCTTTGTACAAAGGTTCAGTCGCCCCAGCCTAGTGGCCCCTGTCTACGTTACCGTATTTCCTCTGATATGCTGTAACGTGAATTCTATCGGACCGGCCAGGTTCCAAAGTGACGTATTTGCAGCACTGGTGCTCACAACGTAAGTGGTTAAGTTTTCATTTTGGGAAATGTGGTGCTGGAATGTAAACATAGAGAAGAGTTCAGTTCAAGCTTCATAGACCAAAGAATATAAGTACTAATATATATATATATATATATATAATATATATATATATATATTATATATAGAGAGAGAGAGAGAGAGAGAGAGAGAGAGAGAGAGAGAGAGAGAGAGAGAGAGAGAGAGAGAACATCTACTCCAATCCTTTCATTTTACAGATAAGCAACAGGAGCCCACAGAGGAAAGGACTTGCTGAAAATCATCTGACTAAATAAATGGCGAGAGTGAGGACTAGAATTCAGGGCTCTCACCTCCTTCTCCAATGTTCTTTGCACTGTACAACATGGGCTCGGAGAGTGGGCTCTCCCCGCACAACTACTATAAAATCCCCTGAATTTCTTCTACTTTCAATAAACAAGCCAAAATTTAAAGGTACAAAAATAGTAGCTGGAATGTTGTGCATGGAAAACAGTAATAATCCCTGATTGGCTGGATGTAGGAAGCATGTGATCTTTCTGAGCCAATTAGAGAGCAGGATAGAGTTTGCCAAGATAGAATTCCTCTGTACAGTTAACGAAACATAAACAGCTATGTGCTTGGGCTTCTAAACAACTGTGGTGTGCTGTCTTCAAAATCCATCCATTAGTAAAAGAGCCTTTTCTGTTACTATGGTGGAACTCTGGCCATACATTGCTTCATATCGGCCAAGTAATGAGGAAGTACAAATGTAAAAATCAGTCATCTTGAATCCAAATGATTAAATATTGGTCTTTTGTTTTTAAACCATAGTGATTTCCATATACGCATACATGCAGACACACATGCATACACACACACACACGCACACACACACACACACACACACACACACACAACACACATATATATATATATATATATATATATATATATATATATATATATATATATATATATCACCCCCTACATACACACATTGTTGTTCACCCTTCATTTTGGGGGGTTTTTTAGGGTTTTTTTTGGCTAGGCAGTGGGGTTAAGTGACTTGCTCAGGGTCACACAGCTAGTAAGTATTATGTGTCTGAGGTCAGATTTGAACTCAGGTCCTCCTGAATCCAGGGCCGGTGCTCTATCCACTGCACCACCTAGCTGCCCCACCCTTCATTTTTTAAGAAGACCAATGACATCATAGAGTGATGTCTTGACTGGAGTGTGAATTGTATTGAAGTGAGGCAGAGCTGCACAAAGTCATCAGCCTCACTCTCTTTTTCTGAGTCATAGAAGTCCAGTGGCAAGACAAAGGTCAGGATGACTGGTGATGGCCCTGGATGCAGTGGATAACCTTGGCATCTTCCATGTCTGACCAAGCTCTAAGCATTCCACAGCACCTGCTTTAGCCACCTTCGTGGCTGTTGGGACAAATTGTTCTCATCCTCCCATTCTGCCAGGGGAAGTCTTCACATGCTTGGAGTGGACATCCCTCTAACTCACCGATGGATTTGAGGCCTGTCAGTTACTCTCAACCTGATTTAGCTTGTTTGCCCAGGGTATGGCCACTACATATGCTACAGCTTCTTGGAGCCACAGGGGAGAGCTGAGTGAAAGGTAGACACCAAAGGTGGATAAGTAGCCCTGAAAAGGGCTTGGTGAGCCCTCACAACAGAAGGGCTAGTCCTCCTGGACACCCCATATACCTCACATACACTCACACACTTTTGAAGGCCATCTTATAACCAAAAAAACCAGGTTAAGCTGATAAAATGACCGTCTATCGTCCTATGCAACATTTGGCACCCAGACACCTTTCATCGTCTGATTTCCTGAAAATGACCTTGGATTCACAAGGCTCAGCCAACAGAACAGACACTCCTGCAGGGTCTCCCATGCTGGAAAAGCTTCCATCCTAAGCCCAACAACCCAGCCTTGTCTCTGATGTCCAAGGACCAGCAAGGCTAAATGTCGAGTGAAGGTCTCATCTTTGATTATTCAGCTTAATTGTGATTTCTTTAATCTGTAACCAAGGATTCCTCACATTGAAGAAACACGAGAGGCATCCACAGCATTGGTAGGCTAATTTGGGCAAAGTCCTTTTATCCTTTTTGGTGGAAAATATTAATGGATATTACTAATTCCACAGTTAATATATGCAAAATTCGGTTGTGTCTTATCTTCTGCTACCATACAAAAGGAGTGTGGGCTATGTATGATCTCTGCCCTTAAGAACTTCTAATCAAGTTGGGGAGAAAGGAGACGTTAATAGTTAGCAAACAATATTTGTGATTCCCCCTAGAGAGGCAGGAAATGGCCTGGAGATCTGGGCCCCAGCAAGATAAAACGAAACCTGACCTTTCAGAGCCAAGGTATCTGGGGCAGAGGAAACAATGCTATTGATTTGTCACATGATATAATGGTCTAGATGAGAAATTTCAAACTGGTATTTCTCCTAAGTGCCTCTGAACCAGATTAAAATATAACTGGGAAATGTTGAACAAAGTAAAGAGAAACATAATACAACATAGATAATGTTAATTTGTGGTTTTCTAAGTCAATATGCACCCACAGAGATCCGTTTCTACTTGAGTTTGGCACCACTGGACTCTAGAGAACCCTGAAGAGCCAACTAAAAATTAATTGAAAAGAGAACTTAAGCAAAATTGCAGGATGTAAAATAAGTCGACATCAGTTATCAGCATTCCTGTATATTACCAACAAATCTCAGCAGCAACAGAAAGAAAGAGAAATTCCATTCACAGTGACTACGTATGCATATGATCTATTTGGGAAGTCTACCAAAGACACACCCAGGTGCTATAAGAATACAACTATAAAATACTCTTCACAGAAATGTTGTTGTTCGGTCGTTTTTCAGTTGTGTCCAATTCTTCCTGATTCCATCTGGGGTTTTCTTAGCAAAGATAATAGAGTGGTTTGCCATTTCCTTCTCCAGCTCATTTTACAAATGAAGAAATTGAGGCAAACAGGGTGAAGTGACTTGCCCAGGGTCGAACAGCTAGTTAGTGTCTGAGGCTGGACTGAAGTTAGGAAACGAAATCTCTTTCCTGCATTCTATCCACTGTACCACCTGGCTTCCCCTTACAGAAATAGACAGACTTAAATAATCAGAGAAATATTCATTGTTTATGAGCATAATGAAAATGGCAATAATACCTAAATTCATTCATGTATTAAGTGTCATGCCAATCAAAATACCAAAGAATTATTTTCTAGAATTAGAAAAAGAATAATGAACTTATTCATTGTTATCATTAATAATAATTTATTCCTTATCTAGAGGAATAAAAGGTTAAGAATCTCAAAGGAAATTATGAAAAAAGTGGGAAGGAAGGGAGCTTAGCAGTGCCAGATCTCAAACAATACTACTAATCAACCATAAAAAAAGACTTGGTATTGGTTAAAGAATAGAGCGGTCAATCAGTAAAATCCGTGAATTAGGTACTCAGCATAGAGATCAAAATGAACAGAGTAGAGTCTGAGGCCTGCTCTCCTGATGGCTGAATCCCTGGCTAGGACTGCCATTTCATGAGGGACCCTAGCCATGCTCACTTCCCTTCCAGATCAACTCCCTCCCCTACTCTAGGCTTTCCAGCCCCCTCCCCCATTTATATTTTATCTTCCTCTATTAGAATATCAACATCTTGAGAAAAAGAGCCATCATGTTTTATTGGTTTTATATCCTCACTACTTGGCATAGTGCCTAGCACATAGTAAGCCCTTAATAGATGCTAATCTATCTATCCATCCATCATCCATCCATCCATCCATCCATCCATCCATCTATCTATCTATCTATCTATCTATCTATCTATCTATCTATCTATCTATCTATCTATCTATGCAGCTAGATATCTAGTGAGGAAGCTAGGTGGCATAGTGGATAGAGTAGAGTCAGGAAGACCTGAGTTCAAATCCAGCCTCAGATATTTACTAGCTATGTGACCCTGGGGAGTCATTTAGCCTCTGTTTGCCTCAGTTTCCTCTTCTGTAAAATGGGGATAACAATAGCACTCTGTATCCCTTCATACATCTCTTCCCAGTTTTCTCTGAAATTGTCCATTTAATCATTTCTTATGGTGCAATAATATTCCATTACAGTCATATACCATAGTTGGTTTAGTCATTTCACAATAGATGGGCACCCCCCCCCACTTGTGGAATGGCTGAACAAGTTGTGGTATGTGAATATAATGGAATGCTATTGTTCCATAACAAATGATGGACTTCAGAAAAACCTGGAAAGACTTACATGAACTGATGCTGAGTGAAGTGAGCAGAACCAGGAGAACATTGTACACAGTAACAGTCACATTGTACAATGACTAACTTTGATAGACTTAGCTCTTCTCAGAAATGCAAGGATCTAAGACAACTCCAAAAGGCTCATGATGGAAAATACTATCCACACCCAGAAAAAGGACTATGGAGTCTGAATGCATATAGAAGCATACTATTTGCTCTCTCTCTCTCTCTCTCTTTTTTTTGTTTGTTTCTTCTTTCTTGTGGTTTCTCCCATTGGTTCTAATTCTTCTTTACAACATGGCTAATGTGAAAATAGGTTTAATACGAATGTATATGTAGAGCCTATATCAGACTACACACTGTCTTGGGGAGGGGGGAGAGAAGGGAGTGGGAGAAAATTTAGAACTCAAAATCTTATGGAAGTGAATGTTGAAAACTAAAAATAAATTTAAAAATCACTCTATTCCTATTCTCTATAGGGTGTTTTATAACATAAGAGAATATTATACTTTTTCTGTATCAGTTGACATAATCACATGCTTTTAGACGATTTTGTTCTTAGTATGATTAACTATGTTGATTATTTTCTTACTGTTGAGCAATCTTTGCATCATTGTCATAAATTCAACTTGGTTGTGATGATTTCTTAGATGAATTGCTATAGAAAATTGTAGCATGTGGCAAGAGCCAGCTATGATTGTGCATGCATTCATTTGGGAAAATGATAAATGATGGTCAATAAATTTTATTTTTTAAAAGGAAAAAAATAGGGGTGGCTAGGTGGCTCAGTGAATAGAGCACCAGCCCTGAAGTCAGGAGGACCTGAGTTCAAATTTGGCCTCAGACTAAAACACTTGACACTTACTAGCTGTGTGACCCTGGGCAAGTCACAACCCCAATTGCCTAAAACAAAAAATAGATGGGTACCCCCCCCCTTAGTTTCCAGTTAAAATGCCGCTACAAAAAGAACTGCTTTAAATCTTTTTTGTGCAGTGGATCCTTTTCTTCTTTCTTTGATCTCTTTGGAGTATGGGCCTAGTATTAGTATATTGTGGGGTCAAAGTGGATACAGTTTAGGAAGTTTGGGGGCATAGTTCCAATTTGCATGCCAGAATGGCTAGACCAATTTACAGTTCCACTAGCAGTGCATCAGTGTGCCTGTTTTCCTGCAGCCCCTCCAGCATCTGTCCTTTTTCTTTTATGTCATTTTTGCTAGTTTCATTGGTATGAGCTAGAACTTCAGAGTTGCTTTCATTTGTATTTCTCTATTTGTGATTTGGAGCTTTTTTTTCATATAGCTGTCGATAGCTTGGAGTTCTTCTTCTGAAAACTACCTGTTCATATTCTTTGACTATTTATTAGGGTATGGCTTCTTATAAATTGGAATCAGTTCCTTATACAGGGAACTTTTAAGCTATTAAATAACTAAGCTACTAAAGCTTAAAACTGCATTAAGACTTTTGGGTACATTCTACAAAGATTCTCAGTTAGCTATTTTCCTTGTAATTTTAACCACATTTGTTTTATTTGTGTGAAAAAAAATTTTAATGGACTCAAAGTACAGAAAGAGACAGACATTTTTGGACATGGCCAATGAGGGCATTGGCTTCCATTTGGCTATAAATATTTTTATCAATGGGAAGGGGAGGACTGGAGGGAGAGAAATTAAATGCTTGTTAATTGAAAAAAATGAAATGAAATTTTAAAAAGAACAGCCATCAAAATATACTTCTTTCCTCTTGGTAGAGAGGTGGGGTACTACAGGTGCAAAATGTTGCATACAGTGTCAGATATAGTTTGTCAATCAGTTTTGCTTTAACTGTTTTGTGCGTGTATGTGTGTGCATGTTACAAATGGGGTTTAATGATGTTTGGGGGGGAATATATTGGGAAATGATTGCAATACAGAAAATAAAAGGCCTCCATATGAATAAACCATCTCTAATCTGACAGATTTCATATTAGGTCCCCTCATACACTATCTAGTTTCACCATATACAGCATTCCATCTGCTGTTTCTGGGCCTGGAACATTTTCCCTTCTCTCTCCTTGGAAGGTGCCACTGCTTCCATGAAGTCTTTCCTAATCCCTTTGATGGGGACCCCTGAAATTACTTTGCATTTCCTTTGTGTATTATTTGTATTTACTTATTTGTGCATGTATTATTTTCCATAGCAGATTGTAAGCTCTTTGAGGGCAAAGATTATTTTTCTTTCTATATTTGTCTCCCCAGTACCTAGAATAGGGCCTGACACATAGTAGGTGCTTAACAAATGCTTGTCTTTTTTTTCCTTTGCCAGGCAATGGGGTTAAGTGACTTGCCCAGGGTCACACAGCTAGTAAGTGTTATGTGTCTGAGGCTAGATTTGAGCTCAGGTCCTCCTGAATCCAGGGTCCATGCTCTATCCACTGTACCACCTAGCTGCCCCCAAATGCTTGTCTTTTTAAATAAAACTTGGCAGATTCTTCAAACAGGAAATGTTTGTTCATGTGGTGGGTCAGGGGTGCACTCAGATATTTGTGGAGCAAATTAAAGTGAGAAATATTACTATGCTAACAACACAATATGGTAGGAATTGTTAATTATCTTGATCACATCTCTAATTGCAAGGCTGTACCTCAAAGATTGACGTTTGCCCAAAGAAGCTAAACACGATCTTCTGTAGGTTGAAAGGAATTCTCTTCTTCAGTGATTTAGGCAAATATATGGAAGCCAAAGTCATCCTGTGAGGTGTATTGTCTAGATAAATCTGTGGAGGGAGACCTTAAAATGAGGGAAGGTGTGAAAAAGCTCTGCCTGATGAGCAGGGCCCTCAAGTCCAGCATGGCTGCTACCATCCCGGGTGACCTCTAGAAGACAGAAAGCCTTCATGTTTCAAAGAAAGGGAGTCATTTTCTTCCTAAAATGTGCCACATACATCACGTAAACCACAGGAATAATTAAATGATCCCTTGGGATGCAATTGAAGAAAGGACGCCTTTCTCTGTCCCCATATAGTGTTCTCTTTTCCAAGCCTGTCATCCAGTGTCTCTGGGTTACACTCACTTCAGGGTCCATGCCTTCCTTATAGTGGTGAACACTAAAGGAAATGCCTTCAAATTCCTCCTCCATCTGAAGCACAGCTACAGCTGATGAGGCCATAGTTACATTGGCCGTCCTCCCAGAAAACTTCATCTTGTAACCTACCTGCTCAATTGTCCTCAAGCTCCTTTCAAGGACAAAAAAGAATTTGTTAAAAACCACACCATTAGGGTTATTTAATAATTAGCATTTGTAAAGCGCTTTAAGGTTTGCAAAGTATGTTACATATATCATTTCATTTGATCCTCGTGACAGCCTTGTGAAGAAGGTGCTATTATTTACATTTTATAGATGGGGAAACTGAGGTCAAGAGAAGCTAAGTAACTTGCCCAGAGTAGACCCACTGGTTTAGTGTCTGAGGCAGGATCTGAATTCAGGTCTTCCTTACTTCACATCCAGCACTATCCATTGTGCCGCCTATCTGTAGTCACTAGCTAAAACGGTTCATCAAGCAAGATTTCTTATATGGGAAGATGAGAAGGTAGGGCCTTGGCAGGTTCAGCTAACATTGAAAAGCAATGGACTGTATATCTGGCATCTGAAGACTAGTCTAGGCCCATCGTACAAGGACCAGCCTAGCTAAATTTAGAGAGGCTCATCTCCAAGGACTGGCCAGCAGGGGATGAATTTTTTTTTTCCACCACAATAACTCATGAAAACCAGAGGGCTTGTGGCATTCATCTGGTGTTGGAGTATTGAATTATAAATAAGTCTGCTGGGGGTGGGGGGCAGATGAGAGGGGTATCCATGAATGTGGAACATTGCATATATTGTAAGATGGTTTTTGATGTAGTGATTAGTTTTGCTGATTTTTTCCCCCTCTTCCTCTTTTTCTTTTTAAAAATGTCTTTGTATTATGGAAGGACTCTCTGAGAGGGTAGGGAAGGGATACAAAGGGAAATTTAGGCTAAGTAAAAACAAAAGGCATCAATAAATTCCCCCTACAGCCAACCTGGTGATGGGTTTTTATGAACTTAGCTAAGCTGCTGTTAGCTGGGCTTGTGTTAGAGTGATATATAAATGTCAGTTACTATTACTACTACTAACATAACAATAGTGATAATACTGTTAGCTAGCAGTTATGCAGATAGCACTTTAAGGTTTACAAAGAGCTTTGCAAATATTGTCTTACTTGAGCCTCACAACAACCCTGGGAGGTACATGCTATTATTATCTCCACTTTACAGATGAGGAAACTGAGGCCAACAGAGGTTTAAGTGACTTGCCCAGGGTCACACAGCTAGGAAGTGTCTGAGGCCAGATTTGAACTCCATCTTCCTGGCACTCTATCCACAATTTGTAATAAATATTAATGGAGGGCAAGTATAGTGGAGTCAGAAGAACTGGGTTTGACTTCTGATTCTACCGCTTCGTAGCAGTATGACTTTGATCAACTTTTTTTTAAACCTCTCAACTTCAGTTTCTTCATCTACTACTAGAGAATAACAGTGACTTCTGTTATCATCATCATTGTCAAGTCCAAACACCTTTGCTTGTCATTCAAGGCCTTCCATAATTGCCCAACTCTCCCCTGCTCCCCTGCTGCTCATGCACATGAACCCTCTGTTCTAGGCCTCCTCACTGTCGCTGGTACACACCAAACTCATTCCCACCTCCATGCATTTGCTCAATGGCATTGCCCCCTCTTCTGGAATGGTCTCACTTCTTCCCTTTCCTTTATGACCTCTACCTATCTCTTAGGGTTGAGCTTAAGGTCCACCTCCTCCAGGAAGTCATCCCTGACTACTTGCATCTCTGGATTTTTCCGTTCCTACTGTAGTCTGTGGCACATTTTGTAATAATGATGACGGAGGGCACTTTACTGTATCTGAAGCACAACCCTGGTATGGAAGGAGGGAAGCCACTGCCAGTATATTGCCTTCCGTTAAGACCTGAGGCTCTGAAAAGTTTAATAACTGTCCCATAGTGAGGGATACAGCTAGTCAGTGTTTGGAATTTAAGTAAGTAAGTGTCCAGCTCTTCCTCCTCCAAAGCTGCGTCTGTTCTATTTCCCACAGAATCTAAACTCAGTTCACTAGATTATATCCTTAAAGAGATACTCATCATTCTGTCCTTGAAAACTGCTTGAGGTCAGGGACCATATTCTATCGTTCATTTGCACCTTTCACAGGCCCCAGCACAACACTGGAAACATAATAGGCAGTTGATTGGTTGATTTATCTAGCCAGATACTGAGATTCAGGCCATAAGGTGGCTTTAGATGTTGAAATAATAACCACTTCACAAAAGTGGCCATTGCTTTGTGATTTAAAGTCATGGAATCAGAATTTCAGAGATGGAAGAGATTTCATAGGCCACCTAGTCCAAACCATTCCCCAAAAGGCATGTCATACCCACCAACTAGTCATCTGGCCCTTGTTTGGCTCTGTCTTGAGTCCCCTTTCCATGTCTCAGATAAGCCAGTCTGGGCCAAGGTCAGTTGGTTACCATGTGATTACTATGTGCCTAGCAAAGAAATCTAAAAACAATCCCTGGCCTTAAGGAGCTTGGGTTCTAATGGGTACCTGTGACCCTGAGCAATCACGTGGCCTCTCCAGGCTTCTGTTTTTGCCTCTTGACCTCTCTGGCGGCATAGAAGGTAATTTGGCCCAACCCCTTCTCTTGGAAAAAGATGAAAAATGAGACCCAAAGAAGGTTGTCACTTCATACTTTCTCATTGCTTAGCGAGGGCTGATCAGGCAGCAATCCAATCCCCAAAACCACATCAAGTGTCTGTAACAGAATCTCTGCTAGATTCAGACTTAATTCATCACATTTTCAGATGTCAGACACCTTCAAAACAATAATCTTGATTTCTTTTTGGTTCAGGCCTGGGGAGCCATGTATCAGACTTAAAATGTGCTCGGCAACATCATTGGCATTCTCTACAAGAGATTGGAAACAATGATGGAGAAGCTATGTTAGACTGGGGATTTTTAAGTCCTTTCATCTAATGTTTTCTCACTAACTTTAAAAAAAAAGTTTATCTTATGTTTATGGATAACTTTTTAGGTGCCTCAGCCACATAGCCAGAAGAAGGTCCAGACCTTCCCAACTCTCTATCTGACACTCTATCTACCATGCTGGGCTGTCTGTCTATAGTGATGGGGAAAGCAACTTCCCTTAGAATTGTTTTGATGACAAAAAAAAATAAAATAAAATAGGTCCTGATCGCCTTAAGATGTGGTTTCTATAGCAACTGAATTCCTTGTACATTCTTCTTCAGCTGAGAAATTAACTGTTGTTTAATATACATAATGACCATAATAATGTAAAGGAAAATGTTACTAAAATGCATCAGAACTCGAATCAGTGAGTCGACCTATCTTGACTCCAGAAGTCTGATGATGAGGGCTCTCCCTCCTCTTTTCAGAGGAGTGGCAGGTGCAGAGTGAGAGAAGCAGTGTCAGACATGGTCAATTTTGGTTTGTTTTGTCAAACTCCATGACCATATTGCAAGAGAAGATTTCATGGGAGTACTGGGGAAAATAATAACTTTAAAAATCGATAAAATATTTTTTAAAAAATTCACTGCTCCTTGGCCAGTACTTTTAACCTTTTTAGGGCAAGGGCCTTAAGAATTCTATACCTAGATTTTCTTTCAATTCATTGTAGACAGGTCTGACTATTATGCATAGATCAGAGCCTGGGAAGTTATGTTGAAATTGAATTTTTATAACTTGAATAACATTTCAAACATACTCAGAGTGTTAGCCACCTAAAGGGACCTTGCAATTACTCCTTTTGTAAGAGTGAATAATGACTCTCCTCCTCATTCCCATCTCTCACATTTTATCTACTTTATAAGATCCGATTATTTAATTGGGTTTTCTAAAAGTGCTGCTGGCTCGCCTACACTGTCTGGTCCCATGTCAAGTTGGTAATCTGGCCCCAGTCTTTGAATATGTGTCTAATCAACTCTCACCATCAGTTATGAGAACATCTTCAAGGTTGACAATCTCATCTGGAAGTGCCTGGAGCAGTTTACATGGTCCATAATGGGGGGCTCCCCAGCTCGATTTGCCATTCTCAGCATCAATAGTGCTGAAAAAGAAGGAGAGGGTGGGGTTATTTTCATTCTCTTTCTGTCCTTTCATGAGGAGTCTTGACAATTCTGGCCTCCACATGGATGGCAAGCTCAGGGGCTCTCTGCGAGTTTTGATTCTAAGAGCTACTTCCTCTTTCTGGGCCCTCTCACCTCCTTTAGCTTCTGTGACTCTGCTGCCTCCTGGCTCTCTCCTACTATCCAAAGGCTCTTTCTCAGTTTCTTTTGTTGGCTTATCAGCCATTTCCAACCCTGGAATCTGCCCTGGCCCTCTTCTTTCCTCTCTCAATATTCTCTCTTTGTGATCTCATATACTCTTAGGCATTCAGTTTGAGACATGGTATTTGAGATGACTCCAGAATCTATCTCTTTGCTGAACTCCAATCATACATATATCACCCACGGAAGGTTAGAGAGCTCCTCCTGGATAGCCAATAGGTATCTCAAGGTCTAGGTCGAGGACCAAATACATGACCACACCTAGCCCTCCCCCCCCCATTCTGTGGATACCTAGGAATTCAACACATACAAAATAGAAGTAAGGAGAAAAACAAAGGTTTGGAACATGGATCATGGAGAGTGATGAGTCAATCATAAATGAATAAAGCATTGTGCATCCTATGATTCATAGAAGCTTAGACAACAGAGCTGAAAGAAAAATCTCACAGATCCCTCTCCCATTTTTAGATATAAGGAAAATGAGGCTCCTGTGGGTAAAGTGAATTACCCAAGATTGCCTGGCTAGTTAGTATCAAAGCAGGGATTTAAAACTAGGCCCTTTGAAACTAAATGCAGGGTTCTTTCCATGATATCATACTACAGAACAAAGAACAAAGGACTATTTCTTCTTTTTCTCTCCACCATAATAATAATGATAATAATGATGATTATAATAATAATAGCATTTATATAGTCTTTTAAGGTTTGCAAAGTACTCAAAAATATTATCTTATTTTATTCTCACAACAACTGTGGAAAGTAGGTTCTATTGTTACCCCCATTTTACAGATAGGGAAATGGAGGCAGACAGAGGTTAAATGACTTTTCCAGGGTTACACAGCTAGTAAGTGCCTGAGGCCAGATTTGAGCTCAGGGTCTTCCTGACTCTAGGCCTAATGCTCTAGCCATTGCACAGCTTGGCTGTCCAATATGGAGAAGCACAACTTTTTGTTATCCTTAGCTTTCACCATCAACCTCAGGGTGTAGCTGACACTGTGCTTACAACTCTTTTGACATTGCTCTGTCCTACTCCTTTGTGTCTATCCTCAGTTCCTGCTCCTTGCTTCTATCTTCATGAAACTATGAATCTCTATAATGTACATCTTGGTTTCCCTTTAAAGGAAAAACATGTAACTTTCAAAAGCTGTCATGCTTGTCTATGATTCATTCCTTCTGGTCTTCCTTCTCTTGTACATTTTTAAAAATGCTTCAGTGATCTTCTTTTCTTTTTGTTTCCGTCTCTTTTTTGGTAACTTTAGCATTATCCCCACTACCTTTGGAGGGAAAAATCCTTTGTTTCCCCAATTGATAAATGATGCAAAGATATGAACAGACAATATTCAAAGGGAAAAAATCTAATCCATCAATAGCCTTATTAAAAAATGCTCCAAATCACTAATAATTAGAGAAATGCACATTAAAACAACTCTGAGGTTGCTGAGGTTTAATCACCCATCCGATTGGCAAAGTTGACAAAAAGGAAAAGGGACAGATGTGGGAGGGACTGCAGGAAAACAGGAAGTTAGTGCACTGTTGGAACTATATGGTCCAGCCATTCTGAAAAGCAATTTGGAACTCTGCCCCCAAATCACTAACCTCTTTGATGCTGCTATAGACCTCTACTAGAACCTATACTCTCAAAGAGATCAAAGAAAGAGAGAAAATGACCTATATGAACAACAATATTTATAGCAGCTCTTTTTGTAGTGACAAAGAATGGAAACTAAGGGAGTAGCCATCAGTTGGGGAGAGCCTGAACACAGGTAGGGTATATGAATGGAATTGAATGCTATTGTGCCATGAGAAATGATGAAAGGAATGGTTTCAGAGAAACCTGGGAAAACTAATATGAACTGATGCAGAGTGAAGTGAGCAGAACCAGGAGACCAATTTATACAATAACATTATAAAGACAAACAACTTGGATCAATACGAAGACCAAATAAGGTTCCAGAGGACCAATAACAATTTCCTGGGAGAGAGGGAATAGACTTAAGACACAGAATGAAGTGTGCATTTTCAGACATAGCCAATGCAGAAATTTGTTTTCCTTGACTATGCATATTTGTTACAAGAGTTTTGTCTTTTTTTCCATGGGAAGTAGGGTAGATTGGAAGAAGAAAAATTGAAAAAAAAAAGTCAAATGTAATAAAAGTTACATTTTACAAAGCCCTTAAAACATAGTCAGGCAAAATAAATTCCCACATTAGCTGTGTCTGACATATATGTTGTTTAGTCATGTGTGACTCTTCATCCATGAGGTTTTCTTGGCAAAGATACTGGAGTGGTTTGCCATTTCCTTCTCTAGTGGATTAAGGCAACAGAGGTTAAGGGACTTGCCCAGGGTCACCCAGCTAGTAAGTGTCCAAGGCCATATTTGAACTCGGGTCTCCCTGACTCCAGGTCCAGTGCTCTACCCACTGAGCAATCCAGCTGCCTTTTTAGCATCTACGTTGACCAATGAAAGTTCCCTATGCATTCTAGTTAATTCCTTAGGCAGTTCTTCCTCTTCCTCATTGCAATAGTTTGTTTTTATGTTCCTATCAACTGAATGTTATCCTTCGGAGATCTCACCTATCCTTTCCCTGAATTCTTTGAAATCTACTCCCTCCAAATTGAGGACATTATGCCTAGCTTGCCTCTCTATTGCCCTATCATAAACGTTCTTCCCCTAGCCAGTATGGAATGGTCTCTCTTCTGGCGGCACCTGTTAGCCCACAATCCTTCACACTTCTTGTATGGCCCTAAGTGTTGGGCAGTCCATCTTCTTCCTTTCTCTCTTTGCGTCACATCCCTCCTACACAGGCTAGAATTCATGCCCCTTCTGATTCATTTTCTCCTTTGTTCCTTCCCTGAAGCAGTTTTTCCAAGAAATCACTCATTTTTCCTGGTAATCTGGAGAGCAGAGAGACATTACTGCAACCCTTTCATCTTCTCCCCTAAAAGGAAGACCAAAATGCACTTAGCGCACACAACTGTTACTCACCACCGGCGGGAATAGAAACCGTAAGCTCTTTGCGAGGCACTAGGCCATTTCCCTTACCCTCTGTGCTTGCTAGAAATGAGATCCTCACTTCTCTGCTCTTTGAATCGCAAACTCTGTTTCCTGCATTAGGGGTTCAGTCACTGGGGGCTTCAGAGAAACCCCTTGAAGGCACTCAACGGAAAGAAAGCCATGCTTTTAGTCGCAGGGCCTGAGGCCTATTCTTTCATTACCTGTGTGACCTTGGACAAATCCTTTTTGTCTCTGTTGGCTTCAGTTCTCTCATCTGTCAAATGAGGAAATGGAACTTGTTGAATCATTTCAGTCACAGCAGACTTTCTGTGACCCTATTTGGGGTTTTCTTGGCAAAGATACTAGAGTGGTTTGCCATTTCCCTCTCCAGCTCATTTGGCAGATGAGGAAACTGAGGCAAACAGGGTGAAGTGACTTGCCCACAGTCATACAGCTGGTCAGTGTTTGAGGCCAAATTTGAATTCAGAAAGATGAGTCTTCCTGACTCCAGACCTGGTGATCTGCAGTACCACCTAGCTGCCCTAGAAATTGAACTAGATGACCTCGAACTTCCCTTCCATCTCTCTGGTTCTATGACATACTGGACTTTCCTACCTTTAAAAGGGCTTTTCCCTCCTGTTTTTAAAAAAATAATAATAGCTGGGGCAGCTAGATGGCACAGTGGATAGAGCACCAGCCCTGGATTCAGGAAGATCTGAGTTCAAATGTGACCTCAGACACTTGACACTTACTAGCTGTGTGACCCTGGGCAAGTCACTTTACCCCATTGCCTAGCCAAAAAATAATAATAATAGCTAACATTTATAAGGCACTTACTATGTGCCAGGTGCTTTACAATCATTATTTCACTTGATTCTCACAACAACTCTGTTGTTAGGTGCGATTATTGTCCTCATTTTTCAGAAGAAGAAACTGAGGCAGACAGAGTGACTTGCCCAGGGTCACAGAACCAGTAAGCGTCTGAGGCCAGATTTGAATTTAGGTACTCTTGACTCCAGGCCCAACTCTCTATCCATGCCACCTCTAGCTATTTAAATAAGCCTCTATGTGCCTAGCTTTCTCAGCAAATTCCTGTAAAAATCCTAATGTAAATGGCAGCTGTCCTTGGCTGTGATCTGTGAAAAGATCTTGGCTAGAAATTATACTGCCAGCCATGTTGGCACTTCTTTCTTTCTCTTCTCACCTTGTTAATCAGATTTTAAATAGCTCATATTCCCATATTGCCTCTTGTTTTAGGTCCTACTTTCTCTTCTGCTGCACTGCTCAGACCCCATCTGGATTCTTGCAGTTCGTACTGGGCACCACATTTTAGGAAGGATGTTGACAAGTATGGAGTTTCCAGAGGAGGGCATCCGAGATAGTGAGAAGATTTGAAATCACTGTATTAGGAGCACTTGAAAATACTGAAGCTGCTTAGACTGGAGGAGAGAAGACTTGGTGGGGACATGCTAGTTATTCTCAAACATTTAAATATGGAAGAATGAGATTTGGTTTGCTTGGCTTCAGAGGAAAGAGCTAGGAGCACTGGGTAGAAGCTTCTGAGAGGCAAATTTCAGCTTAGCATAGAGAAAAATTTCCTAGCAATTAAAGATATACCAAAGTAGAACAGATGTTTTAGGAGGTAATGAGCTTCCCATCACTGGAGGTCTTCAAGAAGAGGCAATTAACCTGAGACAAATGAAAACCCGGAGAGAGTTTCTCAGTAAGACTAACAGGGTAGTCCTCCTGGCTCAGAAGGAATATAAATAATAACTATTTCTTTTTGGACAGCAACCCTGAGGGTCTTCCCCTCCAATTTTTTTTTTTTAACTAAAGGGGCTATCCCTTGACTCACTTCTTAAAGAGACCTATTCACTGAATGGGTGTTGCCTCACTCAAAGTGAGAACCTGAAAAGACCTTAGCTTAAAATGGCCAGGGTCTCCCATTGCATCCAGTCGCCCTGATGAATATCTGGCCACTAGACCCAGATGGCTCTGAAGGAGAAAATGATGCTGGTGACCTTGCACAGCCCTCTGTCACTCAAAACAAAGTCAATTGCAAGTCATGTCATCATCAAACTGATGTCCTGGTCCTCTTCGAGAATGAAGGACAAATCACCACCACCACAACAACAGCTAAGCAGGGCAGTCAATAAATTTGATGGTCAGTGGTTTCTCTCAGTAACCAAAGATGCCAAAGGAGACCCTGAAATGTATTAAATCCCTTCCAAAAGAGAACTCCCCTGACAAGTGAAGATCAATCCTGATTGGTGGACATTTAATGGGGAGCTGGGCTAAAAGTCTTCAGCTTTTAGCTGAAGCACTGTTGTGGCTTGATCATGACACTCAGCAGCCCCAAGGCATCTGAGCAGGAGAAGCCATCTCCATCTGTACCTTTCTAGCCAGTTTTCTCCTTCATGAGCTGGGCTTCCCTGAACTCTACTGGAGGGGACCAAGGACAGGGCGTTCTTCCTCCAGGCAAAGGCTTACCCAAACTGGATTCCCCTAATACTCTAAACAGAAATTAGGTCTCCCACTTGGGTGAGGTCCCCCAACTAACAGGCATCTGCCTTGAGGGCTAGAAGCAAGCCTCACTCAGCTGTGCCCTTTAGAGGCTGACTGACCTTTTCAGGAGATAGGTTTTAACAGCAGTAAGAGGAAAAAGGGTGGATCACAAATCTAGTTATTAGTTATCAATATAATAGTATAACATTAATTTCTCTCAAACCACTAACCAGGGAAGGAGATTCTAAAGGGGATTCCTACTCAGAGAAGGGTTGAACTGGATGACCTTTGGAGATAACCACCAATTCTAAAGCTGATAATCCTGTCACTACTGAGGCCCCTTCCAGCTCTAAGAATGGGAAAGTCTACATTCCTCTCATCACCACCACCATTTGCTAACCTCAAACCCTACCCAAATGAGAAATCAGATTAGTTTTAACGTCTGATGTTTAGTTTCCAATTTTTTTGTGTGTGAGAACCATGTTCTTTCAAAAACAACAAAGTTAGCAACAGCAAGGAGTGACGTCCAGAGGTGGCAGAAGGGAGACTGGCATAGGATGGGTGAAAGGCAGCTAGCATAATTGGTTATATGAAATAAATCAGCACATGTCAATTTGTAGCTAATAGAAATTGATCTTGTACTTACCAAATTCTGGTAGCTTTCCAACTAGGATTCTTAACACATCTGCTTTGAGCTGTCTCTGTAGGATTGGCTAATGGCCACTTATATGTTCCTTTGTATCTGGAAGTGGTTTCTTCTTCCACACATGTTCCTGGCTCTAAAGAGAGGATACATAGGGGTCAGTTGTCACCATGTCTATTGGACAAGAGCCCCAGGAAACTGGTGACCCCCAAGGTTCTACTTAGTTCCAGCATTCTTTCGCCTTAAATAAAAATCAAGACCAATCTCACTTGGTCATTTAAAATAAGTCTCAAAAAAAACCCAACAATAAAATAAGTCTCACTTTAAACACCTCAAAAAGTAAATGGTGCGGCAGAGAAAACGTGAGGTTTGAGGTCAGAGGACCCAGGTTCAAAGCCTAGCTCTGCCATTTGCCACCTGTATGAACTTGGACAAGTTACTTCATTTCTCTGGGGCTTGGTTTCCTCAGGTGTAAAATGAGGGGTTTCAACTAGATGACCTCTGAGTCCTTTGAAGCTCTGAATCTATGTTTCTCTGAGCCAGATAGCTATTTAAAAGGAAGATTCCAGCAGATTTGCCCCTTGGGGTCTCTCTATCCTTACTAATGGATAGCCAAGAATGTTTTTTTCTTTTTCCTATGCTAATACTCTACATACTTGACCAATGAATGCAGTGGAAGCCTAGATATTGGTACTGAAGGATAGGACAACCATGTGACTGGCTAATGGTATTATAGTAGGGTTGTACAGTATAGATCATATATTTAGAGATGAAAAGAGCCTTAGAAGCCATTGAATCCAACCCCATCATTTTACAGAGGAGGAAACTGAGGCAAATGGGGTGAAGTGGCTTGCCTAGGGCCATACAGCTAGTAAGTGGTTGAGGCCAGATTTGAACTCACAAAGACAAGTCTTCCGAACTCCAGGCCCGGCACTCAATAGATTGAATACACCTACCTGCCCCCAAAATATTTATAGCAACACTTTTTGTGACTACAAAGAATTGGAAACAATGTAAATGCCCATCAATTGGGGAACAGCTAAACAAATTGTGGAACAATATTCCTGCGCTGTAATAGATGATGAATGTGATGAATACAGAAAAGTATGGAAAGGTTTACATGAACTGATGCAGAGTGAAGAGTAGAGCCAAGAAAACAACCTACACAATGATTACAACAATGTAAATGGAAAGAATAATCATTTTTTAAAAATTGACAGTAAATGTTGAAAAATAATAAAGAACAAGCATGGCTGAAAGAAAAAAAAGAGTTAAGACAGTCCTGTCCCACTCCCTTGGAGAGGTGGGAGGCACACAAGTGTTGTACATTGCACATATTTTCAGATCTTTTTGACTTATTGATCAGTTATACTGATTTTTTTCCTCACTTTTTCTTCTTTTTTCTTATCTTTAAAAAAAAACAACACAATTTGTTGGCTCTCTAAGAAGAGGAAGGGGAGAAATAATGGAGGAAATTATGATGAAGTTTAAAAAAGACACCAATAAAACTTATTTTAAAAAGAAAAAACTATATTGAGATCATCTTTGACACTTGATTGGCTCTGGCTAATGCCATCACTTCCTGATCACCTGAAAACAAAGCATCCAGAGGAGGGCCTGTGGGAAACTCAGTCAAAGGAGCTTGATCTATGGAATCAGCTCAGGCGCATTTCCTTTTGTTAACTGTTGAATGACCTACAAGTATCTCATTTTGTTTGAAGGTGAGACCTAAACTACCAGGGGAACTGCCTATAATACTTGAGCTGGACTCAGAGGATCTGGGTTCAAAACCAGGTTCTACTACTAGCCATGTGACCTTGAGTCCCTTCCCCACTCTGGGCCTCAGTTTCCTCTTCTGCAAAATGAGGAGGTGGGACTAGATGGCCTCAGAGGTCCCTTCTAGTTGGAAATACACTATTCTCTCAAATGTTTATTAAACACTATATTCCTGTGTGGTGCCATGCTAGGTGCTCTTCTTTGCCTCTCCCTCTTTCTGTCTCACTTTCCATTTTTGCTTTTGTCCCTGCCCTCTTCACTATTCTTTTCTTGTGCAGAATTATGCTTTCTAAAGCAATGTATGCCACAGTGGAGTGTGGTGGAAAGAATTCTCAACTAGAAACCAGAACCTCAGACACAAAACACTCACTAGCTGTGTGACCCTAGGCAAGTCACTTAACCCCAATTGCCTCACCAAAAAAAAAAAGAAAAAAAGAAAACAAAGAAAGAAACAAAGAAACAAAGAAAGAAACAGAAAGATCTAGGACCAAGTCCTGATGCTGCCACTCGGTACCTGTATGACCCTGGGCAAGTCCCTTACCCTCTTTGAACCTCAGTTTCCTCATTTCTAAAATAAAGATGATAATCCTTGCTTCCACTTACCACACAGGGTTGAGGTTTTTTAAGGCCTGGTCAGATTCTGGATGTAGATGTTTTCTGTAAGCTATAAAGCACTGTTTAAAATACATGGGGTCAAGAGCAGCTTTACTGGGGATTCTGTTCCCAGCAATATGTCTACTGTGAAGAATGAGCAGGCAGGGTAGGAGATGTGCAGTGGTCAGGCAACTTTGATTTTTATTGCTAAAATCTTGGCAATATAAGAGAACAAGCATTTGAGGCGCCCCCATAACATGGCCCAGATCGTCTCTGGATAGTTGGATTGTCTGCCCAAGTTTAGTCAATAAGTCAACACATACTTATTGAGCGTGTAGGAAGGCAGAGGTCAGACTGTGCCCCAAGGCCCTTTACAATCTGATTCCAGCCCACCTTTCCAGGCTGATTTCACATTACTCTCCTTTATTCACACTATTAGAGTCCAGCCAGGCTGCTCTGCTTGATATACCCCATACCCGACATCTCACCTCCTCCCTCTGGGTCTTTGCCCAGGCTGTCCCCAATGCCTAGTATGCATTTCCTTTTCACTTGGGGCTCCTGGAATCCTTAGCTCTTTTCTAGACTCATCTCAAGCCACATCTACTACAGGAGGCCTTTTTGGATCTTTGTATTCCCCAGGGCCTAGCATGAAGTCATTCATGTGCTAGATGCTTTAGAAATGCTTGTTGAATTGAATTGAATTGAGTATCTGGCCAAGGACTTCTAGACCTGCCCACTTAGTGAATTAATCTTTGGGGGGAGAGGGTAGTGGCCCAGACTCTACTCTCCAGAGCTCAGGCGCTTCCCAAACCAAAAGTTTCTTTCTACCTGGCCCTTCTTGAATACAAGACAAATGAACAACTCCCTCTGCCCACAGCCTCAGATCAATTGCTTGAGACAAGATGGGTGTCAAAGGAAGTTTTTACTAATAATCTCAGCTCTCGCAGGTTCCCCACCCCTGGCTAGAGCTTTAAGCTTTCCAGAATACTTTCCTTATAACAACCCTTTGTGATAGGCAGTAATGAGTATAATACTTATATGATCATTATCCCCATTTTATAGATGAGAAAATTGAGGCTTAGAAAGGTTAATTAATCTGCCTAATGTCACTTAGAGTTCACTACCTCAATGACTCTGGGATTTCACCAATTTGGCTATTCTATCTATCCGTGCAAATGGCAACCCATCTATCCCTCCTCATCCTACGCGATTCTAGTCTGTGTTTTCTTAGAGCTCCTCTTCCAAGGAGCCAAACAATCTCCTGGAGGTCTTTCTATAGGCCCTTTTGCATTTAAGGGCACTAGTGCAGCACCCTAGCTGTGTATCTCTTCTTATTCCTTCCTCTTGCTATAGGACTAGCCAACCCCCTTTGCTGAACAAGCATGTCCTGGGTAAGGAAAGCTACATGGCTCACCTAGTAAATGCCAGACCCAAGATTTCAACCTAGGTTTGTGTTTCCACTACATCTCTACATCACAGGCACTGGTAAACCCAGAAACGAAAAGCAAAGAAACCAGTATGCCAAAGATGTTCAGAGAAATTATCTCAGAACCTTCTTGTCTCAGTTTACTCCTCTGTAAAACAGAAGGTGGTGACTTTGGATTAGACTTCTCTCTGGCTCCTTCCAGTTCTAAATCCTACCATTATAGACCTGCCCACAGCAGTCTCACCCTTACATTTCTATTTCTTCTTTTCTTTGGCTACGGTTCCTAAGAGCTGCCTCTTCCCCCTCAGACTGATAGCTCTCTGGCTTTCAGCTGCCTTCTCACTTTCAGCCACACAGCAGGGTGCTGAGGTCTGATTTCTTAAAGGGGTTTTCACAAGCTCAAGGGAACTTCAGAGACCACCTGGTTCAACCCCTTTATGTGACAGAGGAGAAAACTGATTCCACTGTACTCTACCCTGGTTAGAGCATGCCCAGGGTATTGTACTCAGTCCTAGCAGAAGCTTGCTGAGTTGGTGAACACCCACAGGTAAGCAAACAGGATGGAGAAGGCCTTGAAGGGAGGTCCATGCCATATGAGAATCGGGAAAAGGAAATGGGAGTGTTTAGGCTGGTAAACAGAAGAAAGAGGGGAGAGAAAATACTTGAAAGACTGCCCTGTGGAAGAGGAATCTGACTTGGTTTGCCTGACTTCCAAGGTCAGAACCAGAAGCAATAAGATGGGAGGGGTAGGAAATACAAAAAGGCAAACTTAGGCTGGGTGTCAAGAAAAGTGTCTTTTAAAAATCAAGCATTTATTAAGCACTTACCACAAACACAAGTAAAAAGACAGCTCCTGCCCTCAGGGAGCTTATATTCTAGCACTGGAAGACAGGGAAGTAAAAAAGGCAGGGAGAGAAGAAAGAAAGTATCTGAGCTGGGCTATGATGGATAAGTCTGGAGAGTTAGAAGCACAGCTGGAAGGGGAATGAAGCGTGGCCAACCTCAGCCTGCCCCCAGAAGGAACTCCCCAAAGGCAAAAGGGGACCGGCATGGCGGCGGGATGTGCCAGGGTGAAAAGGTCCCAGGCACTGTGGGAAGTTCAGTGAGAGACAGTGAAATGAACTGTCTTGGGAGGTAGTGGGCTCCCCACTCATGACAGTGAGGTCTTTAAGTGGAGGCTAAATGGCCATTTGTTGGTTACATTGTAGAACGAATTATTTTTCATGTCTCCGTTGGTCTACGTGCCCTCTGAGGTCCCTTCTAACTGTCTAAATTACCTCATTGAGGTACTGTAGATCTTATTATCCACATTTTACAAATGAGAAAACTGAGACTCAGAAAAGCTAAGTGGCTTGCCCATAGTCACATAGCTACTAAGTGTCAGAGGTGAGGTTTGAACCCAGATGCTCAATAACCCAAGTGTAGGACTCTATGCATACAAATGCCACTGTAGCAAGGTGAGTTATGTAGGCTGAAATAAACACAAGGAGAATTACCTAATTTTTTAACTTGTACATGTTCAGACTTCACACTTAAAGTCGTATGGCCTTGTGTGAAATGTCCATGTGTGTGATTCCCAAGGATTTTCATCTTTATCTGATTTATCAGATCATCTGGTACAGCAGATGAATGAACTTTTATGATTGCTTGACAAACATAGCTAGAGACAAAAAGAGATAAGAAAGATGTTGCATTTGCATGAACAGAAGGCCACCTAACTAGGGATTCCAGTCACACTGGCCTCCTAACTGTACCTGACATTCAGTCTCCCACCTCCATGCCTTTGTACATCAGGATGCACTCCTCCTCTCCTTCACTTTCTAGACTCTGCCTCCAAAGTATAGTTCAGGTGCTCCCTCCTGCACCAGGCTTTTCTTGATGCTCCCTCCCCACCCCACCCCTCTTCAAATCACTGTTGTTGATTTGGGTACACGGATTTCCTCCCACTTCCCACTAAGCTCAGTAAAGACAGGGACTGTTCCGTTTTTATCTTTGTACCCTCAGTACCCAGCACTGTGCCTGGCCCGCTGCAGGCCCTTAAGCAATGTTTGTTGGATTTGAGGGAATTCACAAATCTTCTTCAGTCCATTTCTGGTGAACATTCAACCCCTCCCCCTGTGGTCCTATGAACATTGTTAAGAGGTGGGTGTGCCCATTTGGAAAGAAGAGGATTAGCTAGAGGAATGGGTGAGGCCTAGCCTAGAGAAAAGACAACGGGGAGAACATGAAAAGTAGCAGGAAGGAAGGAAGGAAGGAGAGGGAGGGAGGAAAGGAAGGGGGAGGGAGGAAGGAAGGAAGGAAGGAGAAGGAGGGAGGGAAGGAAGGAAGGGGAAGGAAGGAAAGGAGAGGGAAGGAGGGAAGGAAGGAAGGTGGAGGGGAAAGGAAGGAAGAAAGAAAGGAAGGAAGGAAGGAGAGGGAGGGAGGGAAGTAAGGGGGAAGGAAGGAAGGGAGGAAGGAAGGAAGGAAGGAAGGAGAGGGAGGGAGGAAAGGAAGGGGGAGGGAGGAAGGAAGGAAGGAAAAGGAGGGAGGGAAGGAAGGAAAGGAGAGGGAAGGAGGGAAGGAAGGAAGGTGGAGGGGAAAGGAAGGAAGAAAGAGGAAGGAAGGAAGGAAGGAAGGAGAGGGAGGGAGGGAAGTAAGGGGAAGGAAGGAAGGAAGGAAGGAAGGAAGGAAGGAAGGAAGGAAGGAAGGAAGGAAAGAAGGAGAGGGAGGGAAGGAAGGAAGGAGAGGGAGGGAGAGAAGAAAAGGAAGAAGGAAGGAAGGAAGGAAGGAGAGGGAGGGAGAGAAGAAAAGGAAGAAGGAAGGAAGGAAGGAGAGGGAGGGAGGGAAAGAAGGAAGGAGAAGGGAAGAAAGGAGAGTGAATGAGGGAAGGAAGGAAAGGGGAGGGGGAAAGGAAGGAAAGAGTGTCCTGGAGAGGAGGGATTCAGCTTGTACTCTTTGGCCCTACAGGAGAGAACTAGGAGCAATGAGGAGAAGTTGTATAAAGGTCAATTTCAGCTCCTTGTAAATTAATAAATAAAAAATGTTCATTGATAGATTAATTTGAATAATTAATTAGTAAAGCAGCCCAGTCCCCACCCCCCGATGTGAGAGCCTTCTAGGAGAAAGGGGTGCATCCAGAGCAGACACATCCCATTGCAAAGATGCCTAGGCCCAATAAAACAGGGTTCTAGGACTCTCCTGGGGGCAATGGAGTCTTACTCTTGGGATCTGGAATCTGCGATGCAGCATCTAAAATTGGGGTCTGGCCTTGCTAAACTGAGTTCTTCAGGTCAGGTGTGAGTCGAGACTGTTTGCCGGGACCAGAAAGGAACTCTTGGGTAGGAGGGCATTGGAGATCACCCACCTACACTGGCATGACCACCATTCAATCCCCTTCCTCCTCTTGTTGCGACCACAAGGCCTGGGCCTCATCTGCGGACTAAGACTTAGTCATAAATGTGTCCTGCTCCTTTGAAGCCCCTGACGTCAAGCAAGCAAAGATTTTTCAGGCCCTGCCATGGGCGATGGAGCCAAAAGGAAGTCCAACAGTCCCTACCCTCAGCTGTCAGGGGAGACAGCATGCATATATATGCTTATATTTTTTTCATATTGACTTAAATGTTTATGGAATGTAAGAGTTAAGTCAGTATTTCAGTCTGTTTTAAAATCTACTGGTTTCTACCTTTTGCTGAAGACTTTCAATGGTTTTGCCACAAATGTCTTTTAACATTCATGGCCATGACAGGAAAAGAACATACTAAAAATATTTACTTTGGTCAGTCTATTTCTATATACTTGTTCCAAAGGTAAAATCATGTAGAGGAAAGAGATGCAAAGGTTAGAAATCCTTTTACTGCTTAAGTATGAACCACCATACTTATTACCTTCTCTTCCAAAGATAAGAAAGGTTGCCTTTTCAGAGTACTGTTTATCTGTTATTATGTCTGGACTGCAAGTTAAGATTTGTCTTACAAATCTAAAATCCATCATTGCCTCAACTGATTCTCTTCCCCAAAGGGCAACATAACAACTTCCTCCCAGTAGATGAGAAAAATTGAAGTTTGCAGAGAGGTGGTCAGTTGAGAAAGCACATTCACTTTCCTGTGCTGCATCAACTCCCCAAAATAACTGCAAATACGAAGTAAATAGAAGATAATGGCTAGTGGGGGTGGGAGAAGGGGGACACATCAGCGACTGAGGAGACCAAGAAAGGCCCTATGTAGAAAGTGGTGCTTGAAAACTAGGGATTCTAAGAGATGGAGGTAAGGAGGAATATATTCCAGGCTTGGGGGATCAAGCCAGTGAAAAGTTACACTTGTGAAAGGTGGAGTGTGATGTATCTTTGAGGTAACTGTGATCCAGGGGTCTGCTGAAGCCAGCTGTACCTTGAAAGCTGATTGTTAAATTTTCAGTGTAAGCACTTACGCCTTGGGAATTAGCAAACGCTACAGATCAGGCCTGTTTTGTTGGTTGTCTAGACTTAAGAAACTTATTAAGAAAATGTTAATAACACAGTTTCAACTTAAAGGTATATTGTGTGTACGTTTTCTCCCAGAAAGCTAGTTGTAAAACATTTACCAGCACACCCCTGGTGTGGCTCCAACATAACCGTGTCCTTATCTTCCTTCATCCTCCTTCTCCCGACCCCCTAAGTATCTCATGTTAAGCACATTCCCTTGTGTAAGGTAAAGTGTGCCCATAATAAAGGCCTATTGCTTTTTCAACATCTTTGGCCTGGTCTGTCTCTTCTGTGCAAATCTGTAAGTCCCCTACCGGCAGCTACAACAGTAATGTAGGCCAGGATCCTTGCAACTTTGACCAACAGCTGAATAAATCAGAGGAGCCCCTGCTAGAGCAGACACAGTAGAGAGAGAGAGAGAGAGAGAGAGAGAGAGAGAGAGAGAGAGAGAGTGTGTGTGTGTGTGTGTGTGTGTGTGTGTGTAAAATGTAGCAGCTGTAAATGACCTGGCTCCTACCTGTATGACACAACTGTCATTTTCAGGCTTCTCTGTTCCAAATACTAAAAAATAAAGGAAGAATACAGTTAACTTAAGTATCAAGTATTTTTGGTAATCAAAATAAAATAACCATTTTGATATAGCTTCTAAAACAAACTAGCCAGTACTGTCTAGAGGCAGCTAGATGGCTCAGTGGGTAGATCAGGAAGTTGTTTAGTCATGTTTCAGTTGTGTGACTCTCCATGATTCCATTTGGGGTTTTCTTGGCTGAGATACTGGAGTGATTTGCCATTTCCTTCTCCAGCTTATTTTACAAATGAGGAAACTGAGGCAGACAAGAGTGAAGTGACTTGCCCAAAGTCACACAGCTAGTAAGTGTCTGAGGCCAGATTTGAACTCAGGAAGAGTCTTCTTGACTCTAGGTCTGGCACTCTATCTACTGTGTCACACAGATTTGAGTTTAAATTCAGCCTCAGACACTTCCTAGCTGTGTGACCCTGGGCAAGTCACTTAACCTGTATTTGCCTTAATCCACTGGAGGAGAAAATGGCAAACCATTCCAGTATCTTTGCCAAGAAAACCGCATAGACAATATGCTCCATGAGGTCCAAAGAGTAGACCACAACAGAAAAACAAGCACAATAGTTCTAATTAAAAATTACTTTTAACTTATCTTCTAAGCCTAAACCCTTTCATGCCTCTTATGCCGATGCCCCCCCCCAATCTACCCTTCACACCACTACCAGCATCATTTTCCTTGTGCATAGATCTGATCATGGCACTATTTTTTTTTTGAGACCAGATGTCCCTATCTCACTCTTACTAGAAGTGCAGCAACCACTCATGAGCCCAACCCCTCTGTTGCTTGGCATAGGAGCTTTGGCGTATTCAGTTTCTGATTTGGGCCTACTGACCTCTCCTTAGGAAGCCTGGTGATTCTCCACTTCCATGGGCTTGCCATCATGGTACCAGACTCCTAATTAGCTTTTAGCCTTACCATAGCTCAGAACCCCTGAGCAATCCGCTAGCATCAGTCCCACAATGTCAGGGACCAAAGATATGAGCCAACATCCCTGACTTCATGTCACTCATTTTAAACGCTTCCTCCTCCAGGTCCCCTCCTTGATCCCCACCTCATAACCCCTACCACCATCAGTAACAGTCTTTCCCTTCTGATCTCACATAGTACTTTGTTTCATGCCTCTATGATGGTAATAATAATAACTAGTATTCACACAGAGATTTAAGGTTTGCGAAGTACTTTATACATGTTATCTCATTTGATTCTTACAACCCTGGGATTTAAGTGCTATTATTATCCCCATTTTACAGGTGAAGGAACTGAGGCCCAGAATAAAGAAAAAGTTATTTGCTCAAGGTGGTTGTTTTCCTTTGTTCTTGAAGAGGACCAAAATGACATCACTATGTTGGGGTCAAGGTACAGTGTGTCCAACTGTGGCTGATGAGATCAATGCAAGCTTAGGTGAGGCATAAATAGTCCACGTAAACATCTGGAGTAGAGATGTCTCTAAATTTATGCATCTTGCATTTCTTTTGAGCTACTGCAATTCTGCTTTGTTCATAGAACACAGCACCTTCTTTGATGCGGGCACACCATGCTGGGCAGTCCTGTGCCAGTGTCTTCCATGCATCACAATTGGTTCCAAAGTCCTTCAGAGAGATCTTAAGCTTGAATCATTTCTTCTGACCTTCGTGTGAGCATTTGCCCTGTGTGAGCTCTCCATAAAATAGTCTTTTATGCAAATATACTTTTGGCATTTGAACAATGTGGCCAGCCCACTGCAGTTGTGCTCTCTGCAGTAGAGTTTGAATGCTTGGCAGTTCAGCTCGAGAAATGACCTCAGGGTCCGGTACCTTATCCTGCCACGTGATTGTCAGAATCTTCCTAAGACAATTCAAATGGAAGCAATTCAGTTTCCTGGCATGGAGCTGGTAGACTGTCCAGATTTCACAGGTATACAACGAGGTGAGCACAATGGCTCTGTAGACCTTCAGTTTGGTAGGTAACCAAATAACTGTTCTCTCCCACCCTTTCCTTTGGAGCCTCCCAAACACTGAACTAGCTCTGGCAATGCATGTGGCAACCTCATCATCCATGTGTACATCCCTGGAAAGTATACTACCAAGGTAAGTGAACTTGACCACAGTAGTCAAAATTTCTTCATTTGCTGTAACCGATGGTTATGGTTGGTATGGGGCTGGCTGGTAAAGAACCTCTGTTTTCTTGGTGTCAATTGTTAGGCCAAAATTAGCACAAGCAGCAGAGAGCCGATCTAGCCTCAGAGGCTGCCTTGAGTGCACAATCATCTGTGAACAAAAAGTTGTACACCAATTCTCCCTCCACTTTAGTCTTGGCTTGTAGCTTTTTCAAAGTCACATAAGTAGTAAGTGGAAGAGCCAGGATTTGACCCCAGGTGCTCTGATGCCAAATTCAGCACACCTTCCTCCTGTACCACACTGCATCCCAACAGAGCTTAGATTCTACTCGTATTTCTGGATGAGAGTGTGAGAAGTCTAGCATCCAGCACAGTACTCTTCACACAGCAGGTGCTTAGCAAGAGTTTGGTTTTTGTTTTGTTTTGGTTTTGGTGAGGCAATCAGGGTTAAGTGACTTGCCTAGGGTCACACAGCTAGTGAGTGTTATGTGTCTGAGGTCGAATTTGAACTCAGGTCCTCCTGACTGCAGGGCTGGTGCTCTATCCACTACACCACCTAGCTGCCCCTTTAATAAATATTTGTTGACTAACACTTGACAATATTTTATGATGGGCTGTGCAATAAAAAATCCCCAGGGTTGTTATTCAGCTTAGTGCTTATGTCAGTCAGTCAACAAGCATTTATTAAGCACTTACAGTGCCAGGCACTGTGCTAGGCATAAGGAAATAACTGAAGGATGGAGGGACTAAAGGTCATGGTGAAGGTCTCCAGGGCTAGGAATTGTCAGGTGTAGGGAAAGACACAATGCTAAGAGATTATGATCAGATGAAAGAATTGTAGAATTCATGAACATGGAAGTGGGACACTTGGGGGTGATGGTAACATCAGAGGTATAGCCGTCCTTATGCATAACTGAGGTGAGTGGAAGAAGAGGTCATAGAAAGTGAATAGGTGAGAAACTAGAAAGTTAGGGTAATGGAGGGAACATTAATATGTACATTGAAGTCTCCTAGTATCATTGTACAAATGTATATCTAGCTTATAAATGCTTTGAAAAGCTCTTAGTATTTGCTGAAAACTTTTATTGTGATACCATCATCTTCGAGACATTAAAATAAGGTTTGAAGACTGCAGCATAGGGAAAATTGAAGCTCAGAAAAGGGAAGCCACTTGCCCTAGGCCACACAGCTGGTTAATGATAGCTACAAATCCAAGATAATGGGGAGGGGGGAAAGGAGAAGAAGGAGACATCAGTAGCTGAGGGGATCAAGAAAGGCTTCGTGTAGAAGGCGATGCTTGAGCTGTGCCTTTAAGAAAACTAGAGATTCTCAGAGGTGGAGGGAAGGAGGGAATATGTTCCAAGCCTGGGGGAATCAAGCCAGTGAAAAGACACACATATGAAAGGAGGGCAATGTGTCTTTGAGGTAACTGTGATCTAGGAGTCTGCTGAAGCCAGCCATACCATGAAAGGTGATTGTTAAATTTTTCATGCAAGCATTTACATCTTGGGAATTAGAAAATGCTACAGGTCAGGCCTTGATTTCCTGTTTTGTTGGTTGTCTAGGCTTAAGAAATTTATTAAGAAAATGTTAATAATGCACGTTAAACATTAATGCAGTTAGTGGTAGAGCCATACCCTAAGGGAGAGTGGGAGTGGGAGTGGGGGTTTGGGAGGGAGGTCCAGTTTTGCCCAGTATCCAAGAGCTGCTGTTCATCTGGTATAATGCTACTCGAACAGTCATTTAACAACCATTTATTAAGTCTCTGTCATGTGCAGAGAGCACTGTTCTGGGTGCTGAGGAAGATACAGCATTTCATTCAGGTATGGTATTTGCCCTTTTAGAGCTCTGTCTCTAGCAGGCTAACTGAATGCTAACTATATTCCAAGTGCAGGGTGACTTTGACATGAGGCCTTGGTCTTTACATAACAAATTCCGAATGACCAGGGATTCCTGCAAGTTGGCTGCCCCCTAGGGTTCACTTTATAAAATGAGATTTCCAAAGTCATTTCACAGTAACTTTCTTCACAAGAATATTTTTTCCCAAATTGCCAGAATGGTAGTGGGAACAGCTTTTCTTGATAGATTCTCGTGTTTCAAAGGAAGTGTGTACTAAGTAGTCACAATGGGCATCTACTTCAACAACATAAACCTGAATGGAAAACTTATAAAGCTTAATCCCAGAAGCCCAGTGAAGAAACATGCCTTCTTCCTCTAAGTAGAGAGGTGGTACACTATGGGTACAGGATGTTACATACACTGTCAGACATATTTAAATGATTTTCTTTGCTACGATATAGAGTTCTGTGGATGAGGTGTTGTCAAAAAAAAAGCAAAAAGCATTAACAAAACATGAAAAGAAAGAAAAGTTGTTGATTTATATCTAATCAGAAAAATGAGAAGCAATCTTTGTAAAGGCATACTCACTCTGCTTTGGTTCATTCTTCCTTTTTCTTGAAAGTAATTTCTGCATCAAAGGTGAAAAGAGATTATTTTAAAAAAATATGTTAATGATCTACCCATTGGGAACTCAGAAGAAGGGACAAGTTTATGGCTCAGTGAAGGGAAATGTACCCCAGCCTTAAAGACACAATATTTTGTTTTTCTCATGGGCTCTCTGTACCCTGGCAGAAACACAGGACTCCCAGCTGATCAGGAAGGAAGAATTCCCCTTTCTTTTTGTGTGGTCTCTACTAATTAAATCCCAAACTCCTTCCCTTGTCCTCAATCCCCTTTTCTTCCCTTACTATCTATACCCAAACTGTCCAATGTATCTTGGACATTAACATTCTGGATTGAGCACAATCATTTTCTAGCTGTGGATACTGAACCTCAGAGGTTGTACCAATTCGATGCTTTTCTCACTTGGAACAAGGAGGAATTGGCACATCAAGAGGCATAGAGACAGCCGTGAGTGGTCCAAAAAAATCCTTCTTAAAGAAGAAGACATGGTAGAGCTAACTTCACCTAGTCTATAGGTTTGATTTTTTGTTTTTGGCTAGGCAATGGGGTTAAGTGACTTGCCCAGGGTCACACAGCTAGTAAGTGTCAAGTGTCTGAGACCAGATTTGAACTCAGGTCCTCCTAACTCCAGGGCTGGTGCTCTATCCACTGTGCCACCTAGCCAACCCTAGTCTATGGGTTCTTAAACATTTTTTTGTGTCTTAGACCCCTTTAGAAATCTGCTGGAGCCTATGGACTCCTCTTTCTTAGAATCATGTCTTAAATAAAATACATAGGAGATTACATGTCCTTATCCTTGAGGAGCTGACTGTGTTGGGGGGAATAACATGGAAACAACTCTGTACCTACAAGATAAATGCAGTGTAAATGAGGGGGCCAGTTCAAGGAAGGCACTAGCCACTGAGGTATTCTGGGGGAATGAGGAGGGCTGGGAAAGGCCTGCAGAAGGTGGGATTTTAGCTGAGTCTTGAAGGAAGCCAAGAGGCAGAGGTGAGGAGCTAGAGCATTCCAGGCCTGGAGAACAGACAATAGGAAGAAACCGAGTGGGGGGATGGAGTATCATGTGCAAAGAACAGCAAGACCCATAGGAATTGTAATTCAGAGGGGAGTAAGGTATAAGAAGACTGAAAAGGTAGGCAGGGGCTAATATGTGGCTTTCAAATCCAATCATATGTTTCCTCTGTGCAGGTCCCTTGTGCATAGGTCATCATTGCACATACACTGCAGCCTGTTTACACCCCACCCCCAGCCATTCCATCATGCCCTTTGGGTACCCCACCATTTCAATTTATTCCTTTGTGGAAGTGTGCTGGTAGAGAGACCTTAGTGATTAGCCCCAGTTTTCCATATTTTTCTTCTCATTGATACCATAATAACAATACAGGATAAAAAAGGTCACTTTAAAGGCTCACCAAATGCAAAGGCCCCTTCAGAATATGACATTTGTGCCTCCCTTACTACCCCTGCCACCCTGCCCCATACACACATACCTACCTGCCTTTCATTTTTACCGTCAAATTTGTAAGAGCAAACTCACTGTCGTGAAAAACATGGCTCAACTGTAAAAGACAAAAGAAAATGTATTTCCATAACTCTACAGCCAATTGTTTAAGGCCATGGGGGTGGGGTGGAGGTGAGGGTGCTGAAATCACAGGGACAGTATAATTTTCAGGCAGTATTTATGTTCTGTAAAGGCAGCCTGATACAGTGGATTCTATACTGGACTTGGAGACAGGACAGCCTGGATTTAACTGCCTCCTTTGACACTGGGGCAGCTAGGTGGTGCTGTAATGGATAGCACGCCAGGCTTGGAGTCAGGAAGACTCATCTTTCTGAGTTCAAATCTGGGCTCACATACTTATTAGCTGTGTGACCCTGGGCAAGTCACTTCACCCTGTTTGCCTGAGTTTCTTCATCCATAAAATGAGCTGGAGAAGGAAATGGGGAAACCACTCCAGGATCTCTACCAAGAAAACCCCAAATGGAGTCACAAAGAGTTGGACACGATTGAACAACAACAACAATGTTGATACTTACTAGTTGTGTGACCTTGGGCAAGTCATTAACCTCACTAAACCTCTGGCAACTCTCCAAGATTCTTCTACTAAGATGGGTTGCAATATGGGTAAATGGAGGAGGTTCTCACCCTGACAAGATCACTAATCATTGATACTACATTAGCTAGCCCAACATTTTCATAGACTCTCATCAGGTTTTTCTATTTGCCTTTAAGGAGGTATGTCAAAGCTAGAAGAGACCTTCGAAGTAATCTAGTCCAATCTCATCATTGCAAATGGAGAAACTGAGGTGCTGTGGGAGGACAGTCACTTGAACAAGGTCACATGTGACCTAGGGAATGGTAGAACCAGGATGGGAACCCAGGCATCCTGACTCCCACCATGCCACACTGTAATTATATTTCATGAACTTCCAAATAATGCAATCAAACCATCCAATTCAAAGGGCTGCCCAAGCTTCCAAAACAAAAGATAAGTTGAGCTAATAGCCAATGGATTCATAGACTTAGAGGTGAAAAGAACCTTCAAGTCATTTAATCCAAGTTTTCATTTTACAGATGAGGAAACTGAGGCCCAGAGAGGTCAAGGGACTTGCCCAAGGTAACATATCTAGTAAGTAACAGAGTCAGGTTTGAAAGCCAGGGTCTGTGCCTCCAAATCCAGGACTCTTTCTGCTGGACCACAATTAGGACAATGGGGAAAAGGGTCCAAAAAGCCACATCAGTGCCTTATCCCACGCAGAAGCTCTCAACATCTGCTCTCTATCTGGAACTGTTCATTTGAGAAAAGAGAAATGCCCACCTCATTTGTGAGACATTACACCCAGTATATGGTGCTTTTCAAGTGGACAGACCCTGCTGTACAGATTAAATTCCCTCAAACTCAACTTTACCACGCTCTTTAGTCATGCATACTTACAAAGCATCTTTTACCCAGTTTTGGACAAATGTATCGCTGAAGGAATCCGTTGACTCATTATCAGAAGCTGAGAACCTCATTTTGATATTGTAGAAGGAAACTGAAATGAGAGACCAAAAGAATAAGTGCATATTGGACAACTAGTTTAGGATAGTGATTTAAATAGGAACCTGATCTCTCAAGGGTTCAATTTGAAAATCAGAAATGTTCTCTGACCTAATAATGGAACCTTGATTTTCATTTTGTTTCCTTTTATTCACTTGACCCTAATGGCAATCACCAAAGCCCACAGCACTGATTACTTAACCTAGATCAAGTGGGAAGTTAAAGCACTCATTTGGGTTTTGGCCTCAAATGATCTAGGCAGTGGGGACCAAAGATGCACAAATTGGGAGTTGATGAGGTAAGGGAGAACCAGCAAAGCTTAGGAAGCTGCTTTAGCTGACTGTCAACCTCCAACCAATTTTCAGCCCATTCCCTGGTGGTCTTTCATCTGAAGATGAAAGATCACTTGCTTTTTGGCATAATGGGAAGAGTACTAGATTTAAAATCAGAAGACCTGGATTCAAACCCTCCCTCTGCTACTGTGTGACCTTGAATAAATCATTTAACTTCTCTGGGCTTCACTTTTGTTATTGGTTAAAATGAGAGGAGGGGTGGATGGATCTTCAAGGTCCTTTCCCTGATGCTCCTATAGATGCTGCTATTTTCAACCTGAAGATATTTAAAGGTGCCAGAGGCAGCCAATCCAGGACTAGGGTGGCTGAACTGTCCTGTGATTGGTAGCAGATGATGGTGCCAATCATTTGCACATCCTCTCAGAATGTCTCTCAGTGGTCAGATGTCCATCATATAAGAGAGGTAGGGGAGCAAAGAGTCTGCCTCAGGAGATGGAAAGGTTTCCCTACTTGTTGGTAGTGCTAGATGCCAGATCTCCCTCTTTCCCACTTCTCAGATATTTTGTAATCTCCAGATCTGTAAAGACTGGAAGAAGACAGGTAGCATATGGAGCTGGCTCCTAATGCAAGAAGAGGAATAACAGAGAAACAAGAACTGGGTTCTATAGGGGGAAGAGAGAGTGTGTTCCCAATAGTGAGAAAGCAGGAGAAGAGAAGGAACTACATAGCTTGCTTCCTTGTTTTCTACACCATTGAGATAGATGGGACCTTGGAGATCTAGTCCAAACCCCCTCATTTCACAGATAAGGAAAGTGAGACTCAAGGTCCCATAGTAGGTAACACAGTGCAGAACAGAACCTGGGTCTTCTGACTTTAGATTCATTGTTCTTTTGATTAGTTGCCAGGGGTCTCCCCAAAGGACACATGACTAATCCTTCACAAATCCCAGATTGGAGGGAGGAAGGGGACACACACTTGAGTGACATGAGAAACTGGAGTAGCACCTGTGCACTGGGCAGCAGCAGATGAACTTGTCATTCCTGTGGACAGAAAGGATAACGTGGAACCCAGCAGCATGGTCTCAGATGAGGCCGAAGTGGATAAGGAGGAGGAAAAATAGGGATTTGAGGTCAGTCTGGAAGGTGTCTTGAACATGGGTACAGAGGGTGATGTAACTGCATCAGCAAAGATTGTAGCAGTGGTATCAAGAGGTAAGGAACCAGTAGGTGCTGAATAAGACATGGTAGTAGGTACCACCCAAGAGGATGACAGGTTTGCTGACCAGGAGGCTGTCATCACAGGAGCTCTGGCTGTGGTCCCAACAATATTTTGTGTTACTGTGGCATGTATGGTAACAGACGGTGAGAACCTAGTCACTGTGGATAGGGAAAGAGTGGAAATGAGTATTGTGCTAGGTGTGCTTACAGGTAGCGTTGAAACATTAGTAAATGAGCCTGTTGGTGTGATGTCAGAAATCATCACTGAAGGTGGGAATTTCTTGGTGATGGAGGAATAAAGAGTCTCAGATACAGTAGAAGGAACTCCAGTATCACCAGCTGTGTGGGTAGATGGTACTGATGACATCTTCAAGGTCTCAAAGGATGTGAATGGCTGCCTGGTCTCATCCAGACTTGTAGGCATGGTCATTGTGGACGTAGGTGGTATAGAGAGCCCCAAGGTAGATGTGACTCCAGGTTCCAGAGCTGAAGAGGTAGCCATAGTATCTACTGATCCAGAAGAAGTCTGAGTAACTATAGTGTCAACATCTGTACCCTCAGTTGATACTGATGACATCTTCAAGGTCTCAAGGGATGTGAATGGCTGCCTGGTCTCAGCCAGACTTGAGGGCATGGTCATTGTGGATGTAGGGGGTGTAGTGAGGCCAGAGAGCCTGAAGGTAGATGTGACCCCAGGTTCCAGACCTGAAGAGGTGGCCATAGAATCTGTAGAGCCAGAAGAAGGCTGAGTAAATATAGGGTCAACAGCTGTACCCTCAGTTGATACTGATGACATCTTCAAGGTCTCAAAGGATGTGAATGGCTGCCTGGTCTCATCCAGACTTGTAGGCATGGTCATTGTGGACGTAGGTGGTATAGAGAGCCCCAAGGTAGATGTGACTCCAGGTTCCAGAGCTGAAGAGGTAGCCATAGTATCTACTGATCCAGAAGAAGTCTGAGTAACTATAGTGTCAACATCTGTACCCTCAGTTGATACTGATGACATCTTCAAGGTCTCAAGGGATGTGAATGGCTGCCTGCTCTCAGCCAGACTTGAGGGCATGGTCATTGTGGATGTAGGGGGTGTAGTGAGGCCAGAGAGCCTGAAGGTAGATGTGACCCCAGGTTCCAGACCTGAAGAGGTGGCCATAGAATCTGTAGAGCCAGAAGAAGGCTGAGTAAATATAGGGTCAACAGCTGTACCCTCAGTTGATACTGATGACATCTTCAAGGTCTCAAGGGATGTGAATGGCTGCCTAGTCTCAAGCAGACTTGTAGGCATGGTCATTGTGGATGCAGGTGGTTTCGAGAGCCCCAAGGTAGATGTGACCCCAGGATCCTGACTTGAATAGGTGGCCATAGAATGTACAGAGCCAGAAAAAGTCTCAGTAACTATAGTGTCAACATCTGGGCCCTTAGTTGATACTGAAGATGTCTTTAAGGTCTGAAGGAATGTATTTAGCCATCTTGTCTCAGCTAGATTTGCAGCCATGGTTATTGTGGATGAAGATGCTGTAGTGATGCCAGAGGGCCCCAAGGTAGATGTGACCTTGGGTTCAAGACCTGAAGAGGTGGCCATAGAATCTGTAGAGGCAGAACCAGTCTGAGTAACTGCAATATCAACATCTGTGCCCTTAGTTGATACTGATGATGTCTTCAAAGTCTCAAGGGATATGAATGGCCATCCTGTCTCAGCTAGACTTGTAGATATGGTAATTGTGGATTTAGATGATGTAGAGAGCCCCAAGGTAGATATGACCCCAGGTTCTAGACCTGAAGAGGTGGAGACAGTATCTACAGATCCAGAAGAAGTCTGAGTAACTGTAGTGTCAACATCTATACCCTCAGTTGACACTGTTGACGTCTTCAAGGTATCAAGGGATGTGAATGGCCGTCCTATCTCAGCAAGACTTGTAGGCATGGTAATTGTGAATATAGGTGGTATAGAGATCCCCAAATTAGATGTGACCCCAGGTTCCAGACTTGGAGAAGTGACCACAGAATCTACAAAGCTAGAACCAGTCTGAGTAACTATAGTGTCAACATCTGTGCCCTTAGTTGATACTGATGCTGTCTTCAAGGTCTCAAGGGATGTGAATGGCTGCCTGGTCTCAGCAAAACTTGTAGGCATGGCCATTGTGGATGTCGGTGGTATAGAGAGCCCCAAGGTAGATGTGACTCCAGGTTCCAAGCTCAAAGAGGTGGCCATAGAATGTAGAGAGCCAGAAGAAGTCCGAGTGACTGTAGTATCAACATCTGTGACCTTAGTTGATATTGAAGACGTCTTTAAGGTCTGAAGGAATGTGAATGGCCATCCTGTCTCAGCCAGACTTGTAGGCATGGTCATTGTGGATATAGGTGGTGTAGAGAGTCCCAAAGTAGATGTGACCCCAGGTTCTAGACTTGAAGAGGTGGCCATAGAATGTACAGAGCCAGAAAAGTTCTGAGTAGCTATAGTGTCAGTATCTGTGCCCTTAGTTGATACTGATAATGTCTTCAAAGTCTCAAGTGATGTGAATGGCTGTCTGGTGTCAGCAAGAGTTGTAGGCCTGTTCGTTGTGGATGTAGTTTTTATAGAGTGACCCAAAGTAGGTGTCATTTCTGTTTCAGGACCTGAAGGATTTGCCTTGGAAACCCCTGCAGTAGAGATGCAATCCAACCGTGTAGGTGTGAATCTTGAGGGGTACGCAGGGGAGAAGTCTACAGTTGTGGATTTGCCCGGGGTAGACACAGATGCCGTTGTGTCCTTAGGCACTGTTTCAGAGTCTACAGATGGTAATGTAGTGTGAAAATTTGTAAGGTTGTAACCAGGCATGAACGTTGTTGCTAGAGTTGTTGTCTCTGCAACTTGAGATATAGTACTAGTGGTGACTAATAAGGATGCAGTGAGTGTCAGTAGTGTAGATGACATGGAAGGTCTGGCTGGTTTTGAACTTCCTGTCACATTAGTTGTCATGGTGGTATTTTTTGTGGGGGCTGTCATGGATCCTGTATCAGCAGGCGGTGAAGTGGTAACCAGCCTAGTTTGCCCAGGTTCCAATGTTTTCCTGGAAGTGGGGGCTGATGTGAAAATATGAATTGCTGCAGAGGTAGTGAGATTGTTGATTGGAATAGTTGAAAATGATGGCATGTTCTGAGTTGCTTTTGAAGGAATCTTTGGGTCAGTAGCAACACAGGTTGCTGGGAAGTTGACTGTAATCACGGCAGTGGTGACGGCTGAAGGACCCATCGTCTCCCTCAGAGTAGCATTGCTTGTTGTGGTGGCACCCTCAACTTGTGTGGATGACATCGAGGTCATCGTTGCATTGGGCCCAGTTGAAGGTTCTGTGGGTAATGCAAGGGATGGCTGAATGGTTGCTGCAGATGACTCAGACACCCTAGCCTTGGCAGTACTGGAGACTGCAGTAGTGGAGAAGCCAGTCCTGCTCCCAGGCAGTGAGGCCAGGGACGTGGTCTGAAGAGCCAGGGCCATAGAGGAGGTATTCCCAGGCAGTGTGGTGGTGATGGTCCCAGCACTAAAAGGTGTGGCTAAAAGTTGAGAGACAGGAGTGTTTGTTTTTCCAGGAGTAACTAAAAAATTGGAAAAGACATGTTATTTCTGGTCTATCTTTAGGGAGCAGAAATTATTCTTTCAGCAAAAATCATCCATTTCCTTCCCCTGCTTTTGGAGAACAAAGATCACAAACAAAATCAAATCATTTGTTGGCTAAACATAGGATTTTCTATCTGATCCTGGAGGTGACAGGGAGCCAGTGGAGTTTATGGAGCAGGGGAGTGACGTGGTCAGACCTGAGCTTTAGGAAGATCAGAGATACTTGTGGCAGGGAGACCACCAAACAGACTATTTCAATAGTAGAGGCAGGAGGTGATGAGGGCATGCACAAGGTGAGGAAACTCCCTCCACTCAGGTCCTGAGTAGGATCTGGACAAAAATGATCCCATCCCCTGAGAAGCTCATGTTCTCCCTGAGTGAAACAATACTACGAAATAGATATGGAATAGATTCAAAGGAATTTGGACAGTGGAGAACACTAGCACATGGGGAAAGCCAGAAAGGCTTCTAGGAGAGGAAACAAGAAGCTTTTTCTAGTCTATCTGTGAAAAGGAGGAGAGATATGTAATGATAGTTTGAGGGGATGAACCAAATAATTGTTTCCTAAGAATAGAAGAGGCTTCTGTATGTGTAGGTAGTGGGAAGAAGCCAGTGGGTAAGGGGAGATTGACTTGGGGTTTACCTTTCTGTAAGTGGCAGCTGATTGACAGTTGATAGGAGCAGCTGGCCCCTTCTCCACAGGGGTTGTTCCCGGGGCTCTGAAAATGAAAACCCCTTCTACCCCTCCCTGCTCTCTCATCCCCACCCTTGTTGTCCTTCCTTCTCAAAGAGGACCATGATGTCACGAAAGTGATGCCATGACTAGCAAATGAATTGGATTTAAGTGAGGGAGTGCTGTGCAAAGTCACCAGCCTCACTCTCTCCTCTGGAGCCATCTGGGTCCAGTGTCCAGATATAGAAAAGGACTGCTAGGGACAGCTAGGTGGCGCAGTGGATAGAGTTCTGGCCTTGGAGTCAGGAGGACTTGAGTTCAAATCAGGCCTCAGACCAGACACTCGACACTTACTAGCTGTGTGACCCTGGACAAGTCACTTAACCCCAATTGCCTCACCAAAAAAGAAAAAAAGAAAAAGAAAGAAAAGGACAACTGGAGGTGGCCCCAGATCTTGAAGGTACTTACAAATGAGGCAAAAATAGTGCCAAAGAGAAGACAGGAAAATCAATTGGCTTAGACCACAAGCACAAATAGTAGAGCCATACTGAAAGCCAAACAATCATGATCAGGTTGAAGGAGAGATTGTCTTGCCAAGTATTTGAATGAGGGAAAGATACCCAAGACACAGAAAAAAATGTCAGGCCTTATTCATAGCCCAAAAAGGTGACCATGAGAACCGCAACAACTAACAACCTCTACGCCACATTCCCAACTATATGAAGATTTTTGTGAGAATGACATACACCAACAGAAAAGGCATCCTTGATGAAGGAATCAGCAGGGTCCAGGCATGTATCGAAATTTATGTTGAGTCAGTAACCCCAGTGCTTCCAATCTTACCTGTCTTCCAGGTCTATGTTGATCACTTGGGAGAAGTATCAGTCAGTCTTGCGTCTCCTGAATCTCTACTCTACCCTCCCCCTTCCACTCTACTTTTCTGAACCCCAATTCCATTGTTATCCAGCTAGCCAGAAGAGAAAATTGTATGCTGTAATCTCACTGTTCATTGCTTAGCAGCATTTCTTTCTTTTTCCAGGATGGGCTATGGCAAGGTTCTTAACATTTTCCACATCATTGGCCCCTTGGCCACCTAGTGAAGCCTATGGCCCCCTTCTCAGGATCGCCTTCGTTGCCTACATTCATAATTGAAGGAAATTCTAAATTTCAATTAGAAGTTAATGAAAATAAAGACTTAATTTTTCCCATCCAAGTTCATGGACTCCCTGAAATCTACCATAGACCCCTTGGGGATCCTTGAACTCTAGGTTAAGAAACCCTGCTCTATGGTACGCTGTGCAAGAGCTGTTCTCTTCTCTTCTAAAACTACCTAAGCTACCTTCCTTCTCAGCAGAAGAGAAGATAGAGTCCATCAAGGCTTCCTTTTCTATTCTATTCTATACTTCAGGACACTTCTAACTCACCCCTCCTTTCTTGCCTTCTTTTCTCCAGTCTCCAGAGATGGCCCACATCCTCTCCAAGTCCACCCTCTCTATTTGTGCCCTTAATCTATTGCTTCCCATTTCCTTCAAGAGCTGACCTCTCTGTTCACTTCTAGTCCTACCACAATTCAATAAGTCAATCACCCTGTGGGGCTCCCAACCTGGTAACTGCTTCAGCAGGTGCCAACTGCCACCAACAGGCAGGTAAACCCAAGAGCCAGGAACAGCAGCACCTCCCCCCAGGCCCTGCCTCATACCACTAGTCTGCTTCCTACCTGTCCCTGAAGCCATGATCCAGGGAAGCAGCCCCCTGGGGAGATCCCACTGGCAAGTGCCTCTGCAGGGCCTGCAGCTACCAAGCATCCAGAAAAAAGCTCTCACCACTCAAGCCCTTGGCCCCATCAAACGGTTCAGTCAACATCACAAACAGAAACTATTTTATTAGCGGAAATGACATTAAAGAGAAGTCATTGCCATTCCGTCTTGCCAAAGGGCCACAGGGTCTTTCCAACTAACCTGGAGTTAAAATGTGTTGTCTTCCCCCCTTTATTTAGAAAGGAGGCTTCCTGAGGGCAGGGGTTGTCTTTCACAACTTTCTGTTCATATCCTCACCACTTGGTACAGGCTAAAGGCACGTAGTAAGTGCTTAATAAATGTTCATTCGTTCATTTGCTCAGAGAACAGGTGAAGGAATTTGCTTTCCCCATGCCTCCCCCCAAGATGGAGGGGAAAGAACTATTTGATCGGGGCTCCTACCCTCAAGGGTCAGTATCACAGAATCTCTGAGTTGGAAGGGAATCTGTTACCTGAACAAGATTGCCCCCCCTACATCACACCTGGGGACAAGTCATCAGCCTTTGCTTGAAGACATCCAGGAGGAGCCCACTCTCTCCCTCCCTCCCAGGACTGTGGCCCAGTCTACTCAAGCTCTCCTTGTTAGGAAAGGTTTTTTCTTTTGTAAATTGCTTCCAGCCTCCATTTATTTGCCTTTTACAGACTTCTATCCATCTGTTGCTCCTAAGTCTGCCCTCTGGGGCCACTAAATCCCTCTTCCACTGGACAGATAGCAGCACCACCTTCACATCACTTGGAGACAGTTACCATATTCCTCCTAAGACTGTCTTCTCTGCTGGCCCTCTTAAGGCATTGTCCTGGTTTCCCTCCTGTGAATACATCTTCAGCATCCTATCAATATCCTTCCTAAAGTGGGGCAGGCGACCCCAACTGAACACAATGCCCTGAATATCATGGGATCATGGCTCTAGAGCCGGAAGGGGCCTTTGAGGCCACCTGGTTATGGAATCATAGGAATTCATAGGATCATAGAGCTGGAAGGGGCCTCAGAGGCCACCTAGCCCAGAGAGCTTAAGTAATTTGCTTAGTTCTGTTTACCTTCCCCCACCCCAGTTTAGGAAGGATGTTTC